AGCCAACGTAGCTGACATGTCTACAGAGCATGCTGGGAACTGGGGACATTCGGAGGAATCAGAAGCATGTCCTGCCCTGTGGGCTCACAGCCTGGTGGGACCCATAGGTCACAAGCAATTATCACATAATGTTGTCCATTAGGGCAACGATGGTGGAAATGCAGGGAGTCCAGGGGCCCTTGACCCAGGTGGAGAAAACCCCATTAGACCTCCTAGGAGGTATGCTGATCAAACTTTCTAGGCTTCAGTTTCTCAACTGTGGAAAGAGGACCAGGTGACATCACAAGAGAGAGGCGGCATGGTCCAGATCATGGATATTCACCGATGCCTGATGATGGTGGGCATAAACAGCTTTCAAAACTTGCAGTGGGGGCTGAGGCATGCCTATGTCTCCCAGAGCCCCACAGCAGGCGGGCTGTCCTTGAGGCCACCCGCATTGAGACACACCCTAAAACCTGCCTCCCTCCCCTACCTCCTCCCCGCAACTCACTGGAGTTTCCAGAATCTGCTTTCTGAACACAGAGCTCCTTCTCAGGTCCTCCTCTCAGGGTCTATCTTGGGGACACAGTCTAAGACAGCTGGTGCCAGCTGCTCCTGGGTCTTGTGGAGAATGACCTCAATGCCTGTCAGGTAGGTCGGCACAGTCAGTACTGTGGGTAAGGACTCAGGTTCTTGTGTTGGTTCTATGACAGAGCAGCTGTGCAGTCTCAGACAAGTCACTCAGCCTGTCTGAGCCACCATGTCCTCACCCGTGAAAAGGAATAGTAAGAAGTGGCCCCCAGGGCCAGTTGATGTCTGGGGGTTCAACTCCTGAGTCATGATCAGTGTCTGATCCAAGGGCGGGGAATTGGCACACTGCTAGGTCCTACTCCTCCTGGGTAGGCACTAAAGCATCCTCCATCCTCACAGCTGCCCAGAGAGAGAGACCCTAGCTCTGGGCAGTGAGCCTGCCAGCCTGCTGATCCTGTCCTACCCTCCTGTGACCTTGGCACCCATCTGCACATGGCCTGGAATTGGGGCTGCATGCTCATAAGTTAAGGCAGTCTACATAGCCCACTCCAGGGCTTGGAGGGGGAAGGCTACAAGGGGGAAGCAAGAGGGAAGATCCATCCCTAGTATGTGGATGAGAACAGGCTGAGGAGATGGCTGCCTAAGGGTCCTCCCAAGGGGATGAGTCAGGAAAACAGCTCGCCCAAACTCATTTCAGATTGCAATTTGACGGGTAGAATGGCAGGCAGTGAGCCTCAGAGCCAAGAATGGAACCCACAGCTGTCATCATTATGGTGTCCATGCATCCCCAGTCAGGCTGCATAGAGGGACTGGGGTGACTGAGCTCTGCCTCCCAATGGGCAGGAGAGCAGGAGGGGACCCAGACCCTTGGAGAATGGAGGTGGAGGGTCTGGTCTGCAGGAGTGGCCATCACCTAATGAAGCCATCGTGCCGCCATAATGAAGACCTCATGTACCTCCAATGACACTTAGCAAATCCGGGCACAAATAAATAACCCAAGTCCAATTGAATTAACCTTCAACTGATCAGCACAGTTAAACAAATTATCCTGAGGCCTGAACGAGATTAAAAGGCCCGGCGCAGACTGGGATCATTCAGCGGGAGGGTTCTTTGGGTTTAATGAGTTTAAGCAAATCCCCTGGTGTTCCTTCTCTGGTTTCAGGCCACTCTGCTCCCAGAGTGCGGCCTTTCGGGGGCATGGCCCCTGGGGGGCTACAGAAGGAAACCAGACACACATCTCGGAGCAGGGGCCCCGCCTTCCAGGGTAGGAGAGAGGATATAAAAGGTTGCTGCCAGGCTGTTACTAGTGACTGAGTCAAGCCTGATTCCAAGGCAACCAGCTGGTGCTGGCGCTGACACCCCACACTGACCCCAACAGCACCACCTCACACCCACCCACCTGCATATAGACTTCAGCAGAGCCCAGGCGGACCTGCTCTGCAAGGCCAAGTCCCAGGGAAACGTCTCTCCCACATATAGAGGGGCGCTAGAGGATCCTCCAGACAAGTGGTAGACAAAGAAGCCCCCTTGGTGGGAGTGCATTGGTGCAAGGCCCAGGGTTACAATTACTATAACAACAAATGGAGAGACCATCCCTCAGTCCCCTCACCAGAGTCTCCTGCCCATGCTTGGGGGGGACTGCTCTCTCCCCAGATGCATACCACAGCCACCTCAACAGCAGTTTCAGAACAAACACTTGGAGGCTGTCTGCCATGTCAAAGCAGGAAAGGGCACTGGCCTTTCTCCTTCCTCAGCTGAAATGCCACCAACACACCCTGGCCTCTGCAGAGAGCAGCACTGACAGCTTGTCTGTGGTGCCTAAAGGCGCTGCCCCTCTGCCAGGGTCTGTGGCCAGCTCCTTCCTTCTTCCAGCAAGCGGAACCCTCCAGGCAGCAAGAGAGGGCAGCTCATCCATGTGCTCTGAAGCCTTTAGTCTAATTGAATTGCTGCCCTGGAACTGGTTCAAAGAAGAGGACTCGAAAACAGTGCTTCCTGGGCTCAGCCCTGAGACACTTGAGGGACTGGCCTCCCCAGGCATCTGTGCAGGGTTCTTCCCACTGAGACACAAGTGCTTTCCGTGCTGCCTTGGGGGAATTTGCTCAAAGAGGTAGAATGGCCAGGAGGGCTGCTGAATTTACAAGACCATACTGTATGCCAGCCAATCAGCTGGTGGCCAAAGAATGCTTTCTAGCTGGTCTGATGCACGTGTGCCGCAGACTCGAGATGACATTCTGCATGCCAAGTGCAGGGAGGAGGTCGAGGTGCCGCTCTGCTCACCGCCGGACCATGCCAGCATGTAACCTGGGAAAAGCTGACTCTCGAGCGCAGAGAGTGAAGGTCACTCTGGTACAAAATCCAGGCGTCACTCCATGAGTCTTTGAAAAGTGCCCAGCAGCACCCTGGGAGGGGAGTGGTATGGAGTGGTGTGGAGCTACCTCTGGTAGTTGTAGGGGGCCACCTGAAGACAAAGGGGAGTTCACAGAGCAGCAGCTGATGACTGACCCCCTTTGATGACTCCCAAGGGCACTGGTCCCTAATGCTGGTGTTGAGTCAGATGAAGATGGATGGAGCGCAGGACATGGTCACCAGCAGATATAGATGGGCCTGAGATGGAGCAAAAAACCCTTGAGGTACCTCATGGGCCCTTGAGGTACCTGACAGGCACCAGACTCTGGTGCCAAGGTCATGTGGGGATGTTCCCCACCTTGTCCCTGAATACAAGAGGCCACTATTGGGCTGGAACTGAAAGAGGCCACTACTGGGCAGAGAAAAGTAAAACCAAAATATAGTGTTCTTCAGAATGGGCTGTGTCACAGGCCACATGATAAGCAGCCAAACTGCCCATGGAGAGCCAGGCTGGGAAGGCTTCCCAGAGGAGGCAGCTCAAGAGGGACCAGGAAAGGTCTCCAGGCATGGATGGGGCCCTGAGGCAGAAAAGAAATGCAAGCCTGTCTACACATCACTGGCCAGGCTCCTGCCTCTGTGGATGAGCTCCTGTGCATCCAGATCTCCCTCCAGAAGGGAACACTCCATAAATGTTTGCTGAATGGATGAATCTGAATATGAGATTCCCAGAAAAATCAAATCCACAAGATGGAAAGTAGATGGTGGGTGCTGCCAGGACAGGGGTTGGGGGACACGTGGTGGGGGGGACTGGAGAAGAAAGTTATTTAATGGGGACAGAGTTTCAATTTGGGAAGACAGAAAAGTTGTGTGGGTGGGTGGTGGTAGTGTCTGCACAATGAGAATGTACTTAATGACTTGAACTGTACACTTTGAAACAGCAAATTTTGTTACAGGTATTTTACCACCTAGAAAGACAGGTCAGTGGTGGGTGTCAGGATCACTGGCTGAGGGGAGGAGGACTCTTGGAGGAGATGCAGAAGGCAGGGGTGGGGAGGAGGTACCTGAAGTGACTATACTGCAAGGGGGACAGGAGAGGTAGAACACAACCACCAAACACAACCGTCTTTGTGTCCTCTGACTCCATAACCAACATGCACACACATACATGTGTGCACAGAACATGTAAGGCATATGCATGTGCACACAAAATACATGCATGCACATGCACACACATGCATAGTTCACCTTCCTCAAAAGCCCTGCCAGCACACACCGTGTGGTTTTGAGTCCCAGGACAAGTGAGGGATAATTAGGCAGCATCAGGGACAGCGCAGGCAGGAACTTCAGGAGAGTTAAGGAAGGCACCAGAGATAAGGGCAACAAATTCCAAAGGGAACTAATCAAACACCCCAGGACTAGGGGCAACAGGACATTCTGGATCAAGGATGATAAAGAAAAGTCTGCTAAGATAAGGGCTGGGACACAGAGACTTAGCTCTGGGCACACAGAGACATTTAGGCAGTGAGTGAGACCACCGAGAACTGACGGATCAGAGAGAGCCTGGTGGAGCTTTGGCACAATCAGGGAAAGAAGGTCTATACTCCCTGGGTTCCACTGCGGCTTCCTTGCCCCTCCCTGGCCTGGTTCCACGGCCTACTAGTCCCACATTATTTCTGTTCCTTTTCTCTCAATAAACTTTTTCTCTCTCTCAACAAATCTGCCTCTTCTCGCTTGCTTGCCTGAGCGTCTGCAAGCTCCGGCTGCGGCTTCGTGAGACACCAGCCCGTGGGGGTCCAGTGGCCGGGACTCAGCGCTGCCGCTGCAGCCAGGGATCCGTTCCTGGCTCGGAGACTAGGCCTGAAAACCTGAAATTATGGTATCAGCTTCATTCAGATGACCTTCTAGAAAAGGCAAAACTAAGGAGACAGAGCAGATAAAGAGTTCGGGGGAAGGGGCTGGGGAAAGGAGTGACCACAACGAGGCATCAGCAGGGAACTGGAGGGATGGTGATGCTGCTCTGTAGTCTGGTTATAGGACCATCACGTTTGTCAAAATTCATACAAGTGCATGTAAAAAACACCTCCATTTTTTAAAATTATAAAAATAAAAACAAACCTTGGCCAAGAGCCCTATTATTTCTTTCTTTTTTTTTTTTTTTTTTCCAGGCAGACAACTTGACTTTTATTGAACTCATTACAGAGTTTCCCTGAACTGATCAACACAACTGCCATGGGCACTATGTACAGACAAGAAGGAGGAGTTTTATTTCTTGGTTTCTTTCTTCTTGGACAGAGTCTTAACGATCTCCTCCTTCTTGGCCTGGAGCCGCTCCTCAAGGCGTTTGCGGGCTTCCTTGGTCTTAGACCTGCGGGCCTCAGCCTGGTCCGCCAAGAGCTTCTTGCGAGCCTGGTCTGCCTTCAGCTTGTGAATGTGTTCCATGAGAATCCTCTTGTTTTTGAACACGTTCCCCTTCACTTTCAGGTACAGGCTGTAATACATGTGGCGGTCAATCTTCTTAGATTCACGGTATCTTCTGAGCAGCCGGTGCAGAATCCTCATCCTCATCCAGGTCAACTTCTCTGGCATTCGAGCATTGGCAGTACCCTTTCTCTTACCAATGCCCATGTGCCTGCCCTTCCGGCGAGCCAAGGTGTTTTTCTGGCATCTAGCCCGGGAATGGACAGTTACAGGCTTCCGGATGATCAGCCCATCTTTGATCAGCTTCCGTATCTGCTGATGGGAGTTGGCATTGGCAATTTCATTGGTCTCATTGGGATCCAACCAGACCTTCTTTTTGCCACAGCGAAGGACACTGGAGGCGAGCCTCTTCTGAAGCCTGAGCATACTCATGGCTGCGGCCGCAGCGCCGAAAGGGAGCCCTATTATTTCTTCAAAGAATGACTGAAGGCCCTCAAAGTCCCTCAAGGCTTAGCGTGGGCAAGGCTGGATCCTTACCCACTCCACTGCCCCAATCCTCCAGCGCAGGCTGAGGTCAAGGAGCGGTGAGAGCCTGCTGCACCAATAGCCAGACCGCATGCCCAGGCATGCTGACCCCTCAGCCACCCTCCAGAATGCTCTGGGAGAGAACATCATCCCCTGGATGTCTGAAAACCTGCTCTTCTGGCCATGGACAGTGAGGAAAGCCACCAGGTACCTGAAACTGTTTCCCTTTTCTCCCTGGCTACCACGAAGGCAAAGCTAAATCTCAGGCCCAACAATGGCAACTATGGGGGACTCAGAGGCCAGCAAACACACACTATGTGTTTTCATTAGGGCCTTGGTAGGGCAGTCCAGAGCACATGTTCATGCCATGGTCTGATGTATGACCCTATTACCAATGTGAACCCAACAATCTCACCAGAGGAAAGCAGCTGGACCTGTTTCTTTGGGCGACCCCTGCCTTGCAAAGTAGGGAGTCTGGCTCTCACAATGGGCTCAGCAGGTATCTGTGACATAAATGACATATGTCAACACCTTCGAAGGACAAAGAGCTTTGTCATTAAGAGATTGTTTGGACAATGAAAGAGAGACCCCCCAGAAAAGAGACAGGCAGAGAAAGAAAGGGAGAAAGATAAAGAGAGAGAGCAGAGAGAAGAGGGTGGGATGGGCAACAGGGGAGAGTAAGACAGAGAGAATGGGAGAAACAGAAAGGGAGAAGAGAAGACTGGGCTCCTGATTGCCTAGAAAGAGGCAGGTTCTGGTGGCAGCAGTAGTCAGCCATGCCCAAGGGCAGTGGGAAGGGGGAAGAGGAAGGAGTCCCTCATCACCAGCTGAGTGAGGGCAGAACCCTCAGTTCCTCCACCCACACCGGGCTCAGCCAGTCTTGCGCTGCAGGCTGAGAGCGTTCTGTGGCCTCTGCTGCCCCCCAGAGGTGTTTGCGGCTAACAGGCTCTCCCTACCAGCTTTCCCTGGGGTTGTAGGCAGCCCCGAGGTCCATCCTGCAGCCCTCCTCACAGCTTTGCCCCTGTCAAGATCCAACTCAGTGTCCCTGCCTGAATTCACCCTGGAGCTGTAAATACGCCTACACAGTGCAAGACCCCTGCTGAACAGCCAGGAATATGTCGTTTACCACACCTGCCCCAGTACCTCGGGAGGGCTACAAACAGTAAGGACCCTTGCCACAGCCTGGCATGTGGTCCATGTTCACAAGGATTTGTGGATGACAGAGGGGTCTCCTGCCTGGAGTCCCCCCAGTTTCGTAAGTCTATAATCCCTGCTTGACCTTCCCCGAGGCCGCCACGGAAAAGAGAGGGGGTAGGCATGCATTTTCTTGGTGGCTGTAAATCAAAAGTAGTTTTGAGGAACCCTTGAGTATTCAGGGCTTTTGGGTCCAGGAAGAAGGCTGAGACTCTGTGGCTAAGACTCTAATAGCCACACAGCTGGGCTTTGGGTAAGAGATCCCTGGGAAGGCCCTTAATCCCACCCCCCTTGTTATGACCTCTACTTTTTATTCTCATGCTTCCAATGTCTCACATCTGGCCAGTGAGAACCTCTTCAACCACCTATTTTCTTTTTTTAAATTTCCCCTTGTGGTAAAATACACATGACAAAATTTACCATCTCAACCAGTTTTCAGTGCACAGTTCAGCGGCATGAAGTACATTCCACTGTGTGACCATCACCACCCTCCATGCACGGAACTCTCCCAAACCGAAATCCTACATCCATGGACAGCCGCCAGCACCCACCAGCTAGGTTCCTCACATGAGTGGTCTTTTAGCCACTGGCATGTGAACTTGCAAAATGTCCTCAAGGTTCATCTATGCTGCAGTGTGTACCGGCACTGCATTCATAAGGCTAAGTAACACTCCATGCATGTGTGGATCACCTTTTATTTATCCATTCATCCATCCATCCATCCATCTATGAAAACGGGTTGCGTTTACCTTTTGGTTATTATGATCATCCATGACCACAGGTCTACAAAGCATCTCTTCCAGACCCTGTTTTCAGCTCTTCGGGGTGTATACCCAGAAGTGGAATTGCTGTGTCATAGGGTAATTCTGTTGTTGAGTTTTTGAGGAGCCACCTCACTGCTTTCCACAGCAGTTACACCATTTTTCATTCCCACCAACAGGGCATGAGGGTTCCAATGTCTCCACCTTGGAACATTTGCTGTTTTCTGGGGGTCTATACCATAGCCATCCTCACAGGAGAAGAGTCTTCATCAAAGCGAGAGCTTGATCTGGGTCCGCTGTTAATATTTACTTGGTTGATGTACTCGTTTTAATTCACAAACCCAAAATTCACTCATGATGCCCAGTGTCATGAGTACAGACAAATGCTGTTGTGCACCACGATCAAGACAGGGAAGCACCACACCCCCCTCAAACATTCCCTCCTGCCACCTGTTTGTGGTAAAACGTGGCCCTCACCCCCTACTCTGCAACCATTGGCTGTTTTCTATTCCTGTGACCTTGCCTTACCTGGATCATCATGTAAAAGGAGCCATGTGATGGCTCCCCTTACTTAGGGTGCTGTTTCGAGATCCCACACTGTTGTGCGCAGAGCAGCCCTGTGGCCTTGTAGACATGGTTTGCTCATCCCGTTGCCTGAAGACATTTGGCTCACATCCTGTGTTTGGTCACTATAAGCATTGTGTGAACATACATTTTCATTTCTCCTGGAAGCACCGAGGAATGGAATTGCTAGGTGAGTGTTTAACAGAACAAGAAATAATCAAGCTGCTTTTCAAAGCATGTTGCATCCCCACCAGCAATACAGGAATGTTCCAGTTCTATCGAATTCTTGACAGTAGTTGGTGTTTAGTTTTGTCTTTGGTTTGGTTTTGAACATTCTTTTTTTTTTTTTTTTTTTTTTTTTTTATAGAGGCATGTTTTTTTTTTTTTTTTATTTATTTATTTGTTTGTTTGTTTGTACATGCACTGGGTACAGTGAGAAGCGCGGGAGGGAGAGAGAATTCACCAGAGCCAGAGCGGGGAGCAGAGCAGGCAGAAGGACCGAAGGACACTGCTGAGGGGAGGAGCGGGCGGCAGAAGAGGTCTGCGCGCCATGTGGGACCCTCCTCTGGTGACCGGGGAGCAGCCGGGGATCAAACCGGCGCTGCAGAAGCCGCAGGCAGCTTCGCAACCCAGTGCTCAACCGCTGCGCCACCAGGGAGGCCCTTGGTTTTGAACATTCTTATAGGATTTAGTAGTATCTGGTTGTGATTATCAAGTCTACCTTGATATACGAACTGTAGATATTTGGATTTGGAAAAGCCTCCAAAGTTCTTTGAATCCATATCCCAAATGCAATATCCCTGATGACCACCCGTCTCAGTGCCTCTAAAGGGAGGGTACTCACCACCCCCGGTGGAAGGCATGGGCATTACTGGAAAGTTGCAAGGATCAGAAAGTTCTTGTGCTATGCCAGTGTCTGCCTTCTGCCTTGCGTGGTGCAGGAGGACTCTGAGCCAGCCCACAGACGCAGGATCCTCAGAAAGGCGAGGCTCCTTCCCAGCCCATCTAGGAGTACAGCGCCTCTTTCTTCCTGGCCCTGTCTCCGTCCCTCCTAGTGCAGGAACTCAGAGGAGTGGATCAGTGGTACCTGGAGGTCAAGTGCCAATATTAACCCATTTTACAGATAAGGAAACTGAGACCTAGAGAGGGAAGGTAACTGCCCGAGGCTGTCAGGAAGTTAGTGCCAGAGCCCAAGGCCAGGCTTGGCTTTCTTTGGTTCCATCCTACAACCACGCTCACACCCCCAGCCCTGAATTCCTTGCTCTACACACCAACTGGAATTTGATTCAATCCGACTCAATTATCCAGGCACCATGACAACACCTGGCTTTATGTCCTTTCCTTGTAAGAGAAAAAAAGTACAAGCAGTAATAGGCCTCGTGGAGACAGGCAAGCTTTGTCATTTGGGGCGATGAGATGGCTTTTTGCCAGGGAAAATAACTTCTTAAAATATTGAAATAAAGGCTTTCAGAAATTGTACATGGATTAAGGTTTCATTTATTAAATAACTCAACAAACAGTTAAAACTATGAGTGCAAGGCAGGTTTCAATATTTTTAACAAGGGCAGAAAGCCTCACTTTAGAAACAAAAAGCCTGTCCTATTTGAGCTTGATTAAATTCAGCAGAAAACATAGGGCCACGAGCAACCTCAGTCCTGTGCCATGATGGAAATGGGCCCCAAAACAGTGAATTTTTTTTGTGTTTAACACGTGAGGTCAAATAAAAATACTCTTGTTGACATAAAATTCCAAAGCTCGGGACATCCCTGGCCACACAGCCTTGGCCTCCAGGGGCTGAGGCAAGATTACACCCAACAGGGCACAGCACCAGCCTGTCAGCAAACGATGTTTTTACTTCTGACCTGTGCTTCAGGCACCTCAGACATGATATTTAAATGCTCCCTGTGAAGATGATTTATTCCCTTTCTGGATGAACTGCTCCCTGGATCCTTATAAACTGGACTCAGTTTTAATGGTATTCATTAATTTCCCTTGGGGAAAATTTGAATTTCATATAGACCTTGGGTTTCCTTCGGTAATAAAATATATGCAATTTTCAATTGGTTACTTTAATTTTTTTCCTCCAAAAGCCTCACAAGCTAATGTTCCTCATTTCCTCTTCCCTCCTCAACTCAAATGATCCTTGTTTGGAAAAAATGAATTGTTTATTATATTTTTCTAGATAACCAGGTGCTGCTAATAGTAACTTCTGTTTTATGGAGCATCCTAATTAGAATGTTTGTATTTCTGTGCTATTTATTCAAGGGTTTTTGCTACTGTTGTGGGTGGGGACATCATACCACACAAATGACTCTACAGTCACACAGCCATGTCACCAGGTTAAGTCTCACCCTACTGGACCAAAGAAAGGGCAGTGATGAAGCTCTGGGTAAAACCTGGGGTCCACCAAGCACAAAGTCTCTCAGCCCATAGCTGTGGAGTTGCCAGAGAAAGATATACATACAGACAGGGCCTCCCCTGGTGGTGCAGGCAGTTGAGCGCAGCGCTGTGAAGCTGTCCACAGCCTCTGCAGCACGGGTTTGATCCCGGCCTGCTGGTGAGAATCCCACATGGTGCGGCAGACCTCTCCTGTCTTGCCCGGCTGCTCCCCTCAGCAGTGTATTTCAGTCAATCTGCCTGTTCTGTTCCCCACTGTCTCCGGTGAGTCCTCTCACCCTCCCGCACATCTGGCCTGTACCCCAGCTCTTGTATGCATCAATAAATACATCTTAAAAAAAAAAAAAAAAAGATGTACAAACAGCAGTGAACTTGGCCAAAACTGCTGAACCTAGACTGGTTGCCTCTGCAGCTTTTGGTGCCTGCTTAAAAATGGACGTCCTGGACCTCCCTGGTGGAACAGGGGTTAAAGTCTCAGCACTGTCAAACTATCGGTAGCCAGTGCAGCATGAGTTTGATCCCCGGTCAGGGAACTGACCCACATGCTGCAGCAGACCTCTCCTGTCTCACCCGCTGCTCCCGTCAGCAGTGTATTTCAGTAGATCCACCTGTTCCGCTCCCCACGCTGTCTCTGGTGAATTCTCTTACCACCCCCACCCTCCCCACACACCTCTGGCCTATACTCCAGTTCTTGTATGTATAAATAAAAATAAATCTTTTTTTTTTAAGTGGACATCCTAATACAGCACAATTCATCCTTTCTCTAGAGATGGGATGGGAGCATGATGACCCAAAGCCTCAACATCATTGAACACTGCTTTGATGTATACCAGACCTAATCACGGGAGTTAGGGGACCAGGCAGATTGGTGACCATTGCCACTCCTATTCTTCTGCTCCTTGCTGCATCCTGGCAGTGCAGGATGCCTGGAGACATTGGTCACAGGGAAACCGTGTATTTATCATGCCATGATTCTAATAACCCATGAAAGGAAGGAAACCTCATTAGCACCTCTGACCTATCAGACCTTAAAGCAGACAGGGGTACCTAACAGCGCCTAAATACGAGCCCCTCCAAATTACTGCCCACCTAGCATGTAGCTACAGGATTTTATTTATTGAAGGACAAGAGAACCATTGATTAGTAATAAATGCTATAGCTAAATTCATAAAGTCTCAGTGAATCACAGTACAAGTATCACCTCACTCAGACTCTGGGAGGGACAACTGTTATCCTCATTTCTAAGCTGAGAAACTGAGGCCAACAGTGCAAGCTATCCCAAAGAAAAAAAGACCAAAGAAGTTGACTCTGACACCAGAGATCCTCCCCATCGCCAGCCTGGTATGCCCAAGGGTCCTTATTGCTGAAGTTCAGTTACCTGAGCACCTGCAATGGTGAGACTGCAGAGGAAAACAGAAATCATCCTAACAAAGAGTCTTAAGAATTAACTGACCTGTTATACAATCAGGCTCCACTCAAACAGCCCTCCTACTGTAGCTCCAGAAAGTCCCCATCCCCCATATTGAAAGGCCCAGAAATCACATTGTGAAGCTGTGGATATACAGTGCAAATCAACTGCAGAGACAAATTGTAAATCGTATGAAAGCTGCAAGACTTCAGGAAGACCACCAATGACTGGAGGATGTTCAGACCCAGCCCCAAACCACTGGCAAGTGAAGGAAGGCCTGGCAATGCCAGACAAGCCTGCAACTGAGACTGAGGAAACTGACAAGGCTAATGACAGGATGGCACATCAACAAGAAGTGATTTAAATATCAAAGGATTAAGAGAGGCTCTTGGGGAAATTGATGGTGCCCTTGTACATTATAGCAAAACCAATCCTCTTTCTAACGGAGCTAGGAAAATCACACTCAATGTGAAGAATAATATATTGAGCTATCATACAATTTATTGGGAAAATTATGATCCTGCCAAATCAACACTTGACTCTTTGTTGGTTCTACAAATTAATACATAATTGCATTCATAACCTAAAATTCCTTGACTATAAGACAAACGCAAGATATTTTCCAAGATAAATTCTCAAACTCTTTTGTCCTAGCATTGACACTATTACTATTTGATGCCCATTTTAAGTGAATTCACTTAAGGGGTTTTCTTTCCAGTCTAATTACCCACTGCCTCACACTGGGGAACAGTCAACAGCAGGCAATCAGCTGCTCTTCCATTATTCTAATTGTGTAAATTCTGCCCCATATCCATTTAAACCACCAGGAAGCCCCTTCTCTGGACTACGGAGGACAACCTTCCCCCCTCATTTCCCTCATATTCAGTCTTTACCAAAGATCTACACCAAACACCAGCCAAACTGCAAGCATTTACAGTTTCTTAACACTGTCATCAAAACATCAACCACTATGTTCTTCAACACCTTCTGTAAAGGTGATAAGTTTATTTCAAAGTTGACAGGTCTTTTGGAAGGGATGTCAGATTTCATTACAGAGAGAACATGCACAAGTAGGTGAATAAAATGAACTTTTTGAAGGTTTCACATGGTAAAGCAATACACTGGCAATTTGCTTTGGGGGAGTGTGTGTGTGGGTGGATGCGTGTTTAAATTTAGAACCAGCAAAAACTTAGACTCTCCTTGGAAATTGATATGCTTTCTCCTTTTTGAGTTTTGGAACCATGAAACACATAATCTTTCCCTCTGTGAACTGGCTGCAAGAAAGCTCAAAAACAAATTTCCTCCTGATCCTAAATCTATTTTGATAATGTTTTGTATACATGGCTTTTATTTTAGACCAGCAGAAATCATTTTGGCAGGAGCATGCTTCATTTGACTTGACTTGGATTGTACAAGGAGCCATTAAATCAAGAGAAAAGAGTGAAGACTTAGGGATGCCAAGGCTTCCTAAGGGGTTAAGTGCTATAGACAGAACAGGCCCTGCTGTCAGAAAACTGGACAGGAAGGTTTCTGGGGATAGGGTTTAGAGGTATAAGGGGGTATTAACCCCCTGAGGTAGAGTCTCAGGGTTGAAATTACTACAGTATCACCCCAACACTCCCCACACTACCCCACCTCTCCTCCAGCCTGCCAATAAAACTTCCAGCTTGAAGAAATGGAGGATAGATGGTAAGGAGCTCTCAGGGCTCCCCAGAGGAACCAGAAATCATCCTGTTCCTGGAGCAGCCCTGGTGCTGCCTCTTTCCCCTTGCCTGGGCATGCATAAGAGCAGTTAATAAGGGTAAAAAGACATGACGCCGAGATCCAGCCCTTATCAGCTTCATGACCTTGGACAAATTCTCTGAACCTGAAAATCCTGTCTATAAAACCAGCAGTGTTTCTAGTACGGTGAGGTTAAGATTAAATGAGTTACATATAAAGCACTTAGAACAGTGTCTGATACAGAGTGCCAAATGAATGTCATCTCTTCTTTGTATTCCCTTGAAAATGGAAGGATGTCCCAGATGGGCTTTTGAGGGCAGAGACCCAGCATCATCCATAGGTGTTAACTTTGTAATTTGGGGGCAGTGAGCTCTAGGATGGACAAAGACTCCATCATAGAGAAAACTTCACTCAGGCTCCCTGACTATTTCCAACCAGGCCCTGACTTTTGGATTTGTGTTCGGCTCTAGATTTTCCAGTTTTAGTAATAATTCCCCAATAACTCCCCATCCTCCACAGCTGGTCACCTTGGATACCTACTTAGTTTCTCCATCCCCCACCACCCTAGGTGATGCCTGGCCCTGGCCTACCTTCAGCGAGAATCCTGTTCGGTTGGTTTAGCCAGAACCCCAGTCAGTCCTGAAGTTTCCTTAGTAGTTTCCCATCCACTGACCATGATGGGGTTCTGATGAGATGTTGGGTTCAGATGAATGGGGTCCTTGGGTTACCTGAGAAAAGGTTCCAGTTTCCCTTTCAGCAGCACACAGCAAGTTTGCAAAGGAGATGAGGACGTTTGCATAGACACAGGCAAGCAGAAAGAGCTGCATTTGAAAGGAACAGGTTTGTTGAAAGAGATGCCTGCATAGACGCAAGAAGGCAATTTTGGGACAAAAGCTGCATTTTACCAGGGAAGGAATTGTTCTTATATAGTTCTTTTTGGGGGGAGGAGTTCATTCCTTTGTGAACTTTATATCTATTGTTAAATTAATCACTTCTAGGGGGTAAGTGGGTTAATTTATAAGGACCAGAGATTTTCTCCATATCCCCACCTCTGCCTACTGATATTTTCTGCCTACTGATATTTTCTGTAGCAGTCCTTTATAATGACTGACAATTTCCGTCTCTTCACCTCCAGGCAGCACTTAAGGATTTTTCATTTCCATGGCTGGTTCACTGGCGATGTTAATTATATCTACCCCCACCTGCTTCTGGTCCTGTGAGGCCTCCACCCCCAATCTACTCTAAACCTCCATCAAACCCCATCTGCCCCGGCTGTAAATTCCCCAGGTATTTGAGATTGAGTGGGGTTTTACACTGTCATCTCTCTTGTCCTCTATTATAACAGTCCTCATAAATCTCTTTTGAGAGCTTTAACCACAGTCCAGGTCCGGTTTTTCACTGACAGCCACCTGCTGTCTCCATACACCCATACTGCGTTCTTATGAGTGTTCAGGACCCGCCGCCCAGAGGCCAGGGCCTATTTCTGGGGTTCCCCAGACCACAGAGCTACAAGGAGAGTCCGGGATCTCCTTAGGGGAAACCGGTGGTCCCTTTACCGAGTATCTGGGGCCGAGGGGGTCGAAACCGGTAGGTTGAAGCCTGCTGACCCACTACCCACACACCTGGCCCGCTCCGGCGCCCCGAAAGCCCAGCCCGGGGGCGGAAACCCCGCAGACAGCACTTCCGGCGGGGGCAGGGGCGCGGGTGGGTGGGCCTGGCGCGCGCGGGCGGGGTCCCGTCGGGCAGGGCGGGCCGCGTCTCGCGCTTACGTCACTTCCGGGCGCGGCGCGGTGAGCGCGGGAGGCATGGCCGCCTGCTTGGCGAGGCTGAGGGGCGGGCCGCCGCGGGGCGGGAAGGGTGGGTGGCCGGGCGTCCCCTTCCCACCCCAGGCGCCCCTGCCCCGGGTCTTCTTGGGTCTCCGCTCTCCCTGATGGGTGGTGCTCGAGCTTCTGCGGCAGGGGGCGCTTCACCGGCATACACCCGCTGGGGGCGGCGGGGAGGGGGAGGATGCGCGATCTTTGCTCGTGCTGCGGCTCTCAGGGAGCACCACGCACGTGGTGATGGCATGGCTGAAAACCCCCTTTCACCCCCCGCCAGGATTCATGAGCCCCGCTAACTTCGGCGTGGAGTCTTGAACGAATGCTGAGTGCGTGGGAAGTGCTGCTCGCAAGAGGAAATGACATACCTCACTTCATAAGACAGAAGTGTGTTTTGACATTCCACTCTCTGCCTGGCCTGCCTGTACATACATGTGTGTCTAATCAGTGGATCCAGAAAGTCCCAGGTGAAATCTGTATGGGCGGGCAGACACTTGCTTTTGAATGGGCCTACTTGTGTTTCTGTTTTAATGCCAAGTGATATGTTGTTTGGAGCCCCAAGGCATTTCTGACACCGATTGACTTGCTCCCTTTTTCTTTTTTACGTAAACTAATGGCACCATTGAAGAGACCCAGCTATGGAAGACAAACCGTTGGTGATATCAAAACAGAAGACTGAAGTGGTGTGTGGGGTCCCCACTCAGGTGGTCTGCACAGCCTTCAGCAGTCATATCCTGGTGGTGGTTACCCAGTTCGGGAAGATGGGTACCCTGGTCTCCCTGGAACCTAGCAACGTCACCAGTGACATCAGCAAGCCCATGCTCACCACTAAAGTCCTTCTCGGCCAGGATGAGGTAAAGTGGTTGGGAAGGGAGCCCCACCATGGAGAAACAGCTCCTGTGACTGTAATTTGTCAATACAATCAAAGAATGTCTGCTAGGCTAGCCTGGTAACAGTGACTGTGTTTTTGGGACCCTTTGTGGGTCAAAGTGTATCCAGCTGCCCTTGGTGGATGCTTTCCCCAGTCCATTGCATTTTATCCTACAGATGTTTGGAGGTACTGATTTTGTAATGTAGGCCTTCCCCTGGGTTTGACCCTGTTATGATCTATTACAGTAATGAGTGGGTGTCATGTGCTCAGTTCTGAAAGATCATCTATAGGATTGAACAGAGTTCCCCTCTACACATTTATCTTTAATGAGTCCTTCCAGATTAGAGATAGCTGGAAGAAACAGACAATAGAAGGCACTAAGAAAATAAATGTAATGATGCTTCTTTAGCAGTTTGTTTATGACTGCAGTGTTTTGGGAGTCTCCTGAACTCTGAATCATTGTTGCATCAAATTTATGGGGTGCAGGAAGCCTGTCTGGATTCCTAGGGATTCTTAATGAAGTCATTGAGAAAGAAACAGATTTCTTGCAGTGAAAATGTTTTTCCCCCTATCCTTTACCAGCCACTCATCCATGTCTTTGCAAAGAACCTGGTGACATTTGTGTCTCAAGAAGCCGGAAACAAAGCAGTTCTCCTAGCCATGGCCATGAAGGACAAAAGCATGGAGGGGGTGAAGGCATTGAGGGAGGTGATCCAGATGTGCCAGGTGTGGTGATTATCAGCCACACCTACTCAGCAGAGCCAGGTGGAAATAAAACATCATCTCAATGATTTGAAGACCACTCCCCACCCCTTCATTCCCTCAGAAGGCTGTAGACATTTGGCTGTCTTTGGCTGTAGACATTCAGAAGAAATATGCACATCTCAGCCAGAGACTCTTTGTTAGGTCACTAATAACATCCATGAATGGAAGTGGGGAGGCAGAATGTGTCTTGGGGGTATTGTGAATGGTTCTCACCAGGGTCCAAATCATTGCTTGTATTTGAAAATGGAAAGAATGAGTCATCAGACATGAGTCATGGCCCTCGATCTGCAATATCAATTGTTGGAGGAAATTTTTTTATTAAAAATAAATGTGTATCCCAAAATACTTCGCCATCCTTCTTAACAATACTGAGAAATTTCAGTCTTACAGCACAGTTCAACTTAGAGTACCCTACCTGGGAGAAAAACCGGTTTGGCAGAAACAAAGTTCATAGTTCACCTGGACCAGATGAATCCCAGAAGTTGATTTTGTGAACACTTATCTTGCTGCTCTTCCTGTGACTTCTCAGCATGCCAGGCAGCTGAATGGTTATCATCATTCCACAAACATTTCTTGTCTTGCTTATAGCTAGGGGCACAGACCCTAGCCCCAGGAGCCAGATCCTGCAAAGATGGGAAATAGATGCTCGCCACCCCTACAGCCAGGGGAGGGCCAGGTGAATCAGCCACCTGATCCTACGGAAGCATCTATAGGGAGGGACTCCAGAATGGTGGGAGAAGGTGATTCCAATAAAGGTCAGGAGGGGGCGCACAACCAGGGCGGGCTGCTAAGATCAGACCGTGGGATGTACTGATCTGGCTGAACATGAAGCAGAGGTGCAGGAGAAATGCAAAGGGCCTTCGGTGCTGTTCTAAGGCCTTAGCACTTGATCCTAAGTCCTGCAAAGCTTCAGGATGGCATGTGTGCCAAAGTAAGTCAGTCAATGGGTGCCTGAGTTTCTGACAGAGGGCAGCCTGGCATCCGCCTGGGCTCTCCTGCATCTTCCCTCCAGCCACAGTGGCGCATGTCATTGGTTGTACCTGAAACTAGTTTAGATCTGTATCATTGACTGTCTCAGGAGAAAATGGGGCAACTGGAGAGTGGTGGTAGGACATGTTTAGCAGAAATGTTGGGGTTCCCAAAAGCAAGCATCCAGGACATCCTAGAAAATTTAGGATTCACTTCTAAAATACATGTAAAGAAATACCTTATGAGATTAGATGGGGTATTTGTATCTGGTTTCTCTTCAGAATGCACGGTTTCTGGGATCCTGAGAGCTGCTTGGTGTCTCAAGGACATGATGGGAAAGGTGGTTCAAACCATTGGTCTAGTGTAAAAGGATTTGGAGAGTGAGTTAACTGAAGATGAAAAGCTATCTTCAAGGGCTCATTCCCTTAGCGGGCAAGTGTCTGTGTGTGCCATGGTGCTGGGTCACCCACAGGGTCACCAGTAGCCGTGGTCCTGCCCTTGCAGCTCACAGTCTCACAAGATGGCTTGTGTCCACAGAACACTAGGATGATCAAGGGTCTTGGAGGAGGAGGGTCTTGGAGGAGGAGATTGATGCTTGAATGGAAAAGACATCCCACCCCGACTGTCCCCCAGCAGTGCCTGCATGCTTTGGCAACACTAGGGCAAACTAAGGCTGACCCAACCCTGGAAGACACAGGAGTCTTAGATGGCCAACTTTAGCTCAAGGACTCCCAGATAGCTTTGCCCCACCTTCCTTTTTCTGTCCCTTGAGGAAACACATTGCAGTCTGATGGCCCCCACAACCTTTCTGCTCCTTCTACTTATTCTCACGCCAGTGTGTCCCCTGACAAGATCTTACTTGTGGAGGACTGGACCCAAGTTTGAAAGTCCAGAAGAGACTGACTGAAGAAGGGAAGGGACTGTCAGCACACGAGGACCCCGAGGTGGTTCATGTGTCATGGCAGGTATGGTGCTAATGCCACTGATGGGGTAAAGGAAACCTGGGGCATGATCATTTTAACACTGTAGGGCTCATTCTCAGGCAGTCTTAGTTCAAAATTAGCACATAATTAGGCCTCGCAGACGCTGCCATCACCAAACCTCCCACGTTGTGTAGCCCCCTGTGTTCTTCAACCTTGCTGTTGGCAGTGAACTCTTGACCCACCTCTCCTACAGCAGAAAACTTTGGTGCCCTGAGCATGGGGGAGAAAGGATTTGGTTATAAAGGTTCCTGCTTTCACAGAATAATCCCAGGATTTGTATGCCAGGGTGGTTACTTCACACGCCATAATGGCACTGGTGGCAAGTGCATCTGTGTGAGGGGGAATTGGATAATGAGAATTTCATCTGGAGACTTGTCAGTGGCAAATGCTGGACCGGACACAAGTGGTTCCCAGTTTCTCTTCTGCAGTGCCAAGACGGATGGAATGGAGAGCATGCGGTCTTTGGCAAGGTGAGGGGGAAATGAATATTGTGGAAACCATGGAGGCTTTGGGTCAGGAATGGCAAGACCAGCAAGAAGATCATCATTGCTGACTGTGACCAAATCTAATAAATTCGACTTGTGTTTTATATTAACCAACAGACCATTCCTTCAATGGCTCAAAAGAGCACCATTTCATCCCCATCTTCTCAAAATAGCCTATAATCTGTATGTTCTCTCTATAATCCTTTGGGTTCCATATTTTCCTTATCCCCTTCCAAGTCTAGCTGGATTGCAGAGTTAAGTTTATGATTATGAAATAAACAGTAACAAAAAATAAGCACATAATTATTCACTCTTGTCATCTAAAAATTAGATGTTTGTGGAACTATGGCTTCTCTCATTTAACAAATGGAAAAATGAAGCATGGGTAGGATTCCAATTTGAGTCTATATTCAGACCTGCAGCTTTTGGTTTTCTGATTAAATCCCTAAGTGCATAACAACTCGCACTGCCTACACTGGCCAGGCTCTGTGATCAGTCCACATGGTGACTCGTCTGATCTTCACCACAGCCTGGGGGATTTACTAATGCTCTGCATGTTACAGGTGAGGAAAGTGAGACACAGACGGTCACACAGCTGCCACTGAGTGTCAGAACTGGAATTTGAACCCAGGCAGAGGGCCCCGGTGTCTACTCTGTCCATCCATCATGGGACCTCCCTTTATCTCACACCGCCACTCTGCACCGTGGAACAGCAATCTCCTTGTAAGTGGGAAGAGCGTTGTTGCCTTGTGCCCCCTATGGGACCTCATACATGCCAGGCCCTGGCAGCGTCTCACCGTCTAATTGAGGCCTCATGCCACCCTTAGGAGGTAAGTACTGGAGAAAATTGAGGCTCAAAAAGATGGGGTGAATGACTCAGTGACACCAGGTGATAAGTGCTGGCCCCAGGATGTAAACGCATCTGTGCCCTTGTTATTTGCACAGGAAGGTGGTGGTGTGAGTGGTGTATAATTGAAACCAGGGTCCCAACGCCTTCGCTAAGTCATACTTACAGCTGCCTGAAGCCGTCTGGTAGCTATTAAATACCGAGACCAAGGCTTGTGTCACTGCCGCCAGTGCCTTCCTACTCTGCCCTGCCTTAGGAATTGAGATGTGGGGGTCACATGAAAAGGCACTTGGCACTTGCTTTCCTTGGTGTTCTGCTCCCAGCTGCTATACTTCAGGAGGCAAGACACATGCTCCAATAAAGATCTATAAAGCCGGCAGCTTCCACAGGCAGGGCTGTCTGCTTTGTGGAAATTGTTACTCCTTTAGCTGGAAAGGCTGCATATGGCGCTCACCCAGTGATCAAACTATAATTACAACTTCCAGTAATTTACAGCCAAATGTAAATACTGAACATTGGGCTCATTTGCCAGCCCTTGCAGCCCGTCTGGTAGATGAAGTTGACTCTTTCAAGGCCATACCCTTGGACCAGCACGGCGAGACTTGTCTATCACATTTTCTGCTGTGCTGCACACGGAGGCCCCCGCCCGCCGGCCCAGTTTCCCTCCCACTCCCTCCCATTTCCTGAAAGGATATGGGATGCGGTTTCTAACTCAGCTCAAAGGGTAAGTGGGGACCTCTGGAGGTCATCAAAGAGCAGGGAAGGCAGTCACCCTTCATTGTCATTCTGAGCAGCTCAGACCTTAACAGACCTGGACCCACCTGAAGCAGTGATTACAAAGAACCCATGGAAAGATGCACCAGACTGGCTGAGTGCTCTGACATTGGCCGCTTTGTAGTGAAATTGGAAATCAGGAGAGGGCACTGGGCAGGTGACAGAGTAATGGGTCAGTCAATGGACTCATGGAATCAGACTGAATGATGTGGAAATGGTTGCAGAGAAATACTGTCATCACTGAGGAAACAGCACAAACCCTGTGTGGGGAGAAGGGTGACTGGTGAGCATGAGGACTCAGATTCCAGAAAGATTGTGAGATGGAAGGCACCAGAGCCCTGGGAAACAGAAGTTTTCAGATATAAGCCCAAGTTTGGGGACATTTTGATGATGACCATCTCCAAGTCCCTGGCCACTATGTGTGTGAGAGGACAATCGCTGGCAATCCCCCCCAGGCTGTGTCTCTCCTGTAAGTCTAGAGCCCCCAGGTGCTCACAGAGTCCTGAGTCCCATTTCCTGGTGAAGATGGAAAGTTCTGGAGGGCTGGAAGAAGAGGACAGGGAGCGAGGGGCAAGGAGAGAGAGACTGAGATGGCAAAGGAGTGGGGAAGTAGAGGGGAAAGGCAGGGAAGAGGAAATAGACAAGGAGAAAGAAATGGACCAGACACACAGAGTGGGGCTGGGGTCTCCAAGCAAAACACCAGCCCTCCAGCAGGACTCCCCAAGCCCACAGCCAGCACAGTGGATATGCAAGCTCTGTGCGCAGCAACTTCTATCTGGTACCTTCTGGTGAACCCACCTCACAGGTGGGAAGACTGAGGCCCAGAACCAAGTAGGGGGAACAGCCGGGATTTGGGGTGCAGCAACCCCCCCAGCAGGTTGGGTGTCCTTTCTGTCCCATGCTGCCCAGGGAGGCCCCAGCATTGTAGTCCTGTTGGGCTATGGTCAGAGTGAGGCAGGTCAGCTTGTTGAGAATCCTGGCCCCCTGCTGTGTGACTGTGGAGGGAAAACAGAATGGGAGAGAACAGAAGGGGAACAGGGAGACACTTAGGGACTTAGGGATGTCAGGCACTTAACCCTTACTATACTTTATGAAGTGGGACCCCTGCCCCAGATGGACCAGAACGGTGGCTCCAGCCATCTAGAGCTGCACCCGGTCAATGATCCAACAAATCCACATTCAAGCCCATTTCGTCCCCCAACGGGCAGTGATGGGACAGACATCTGGTCCGAGAATCTGGGCAGGGCATGTTGGGGGTGTGGCTCCAACTGCACCAGGCAGGTAGGGCCGGCCTGGCAGGGCAGGCAGGGTGGGGAGAGTTTTCTGGTCTGGGGAGAGGCTACCTTCCACAGAGCAGCAGTGTCTGAAACAACCAGGCTGCCGCAGCGCCGGAACAAAATCCGCAGAGGCTGGAGACTGTACTGTGGGGCTCACCACCCCCTTTACCCCCATCACCTCTCTCAGGGCTGGCAACCAGCAACAGTCCTGCCCAAGGGGCCAAGCAGACGGCTGAGGGAGCCACTGGGGAGGTGAGCTGCAATGTGTGCGTGCACACACCTGTGTACATATGTGTGCATGTGTATGTGTGTGCGCCTCATGGACGTGTGTGTGTGTGTGTGTGTGTGTGTGCATCCATAAGAAGGGAATGGTGGCCAGGTTAGGGCCCATGTGCCCTAGTGGGGCGGGGGCTTCTGGAGAGAAAAGTCCACACCTTGAAATTGAGAGTCATAACCCCTCGGCCCCACCCTGTCTCTTCCCAAGGCTGTCCCCTCTGCCAGCCCCGGGGATGGCACCCGGTAGCCATAAAGGGTCTCATGCCAGCTGGGCCAGTCCAGACCCATGTCAGCACCCCAGCCCCAGGTGCACACGGACAGGTACCCCCCCAGGGCTGGCATCCTGCTCCGGGCAACGGGCAAGTACAGGCAGGTCCTGGCAGACACCTGGTTCCCTCTGGAGACTGAGACAGGAGGGAGGACACAGCCAGCACAGACCCAACAGAAAGGACAGGAGCCCCAAACCCCACCTGGGGGTCCCATGGGGCTGACAGGAAGCAGAAAGAAGCCCCCCTGCGTGCACCTGGTAGGAGGATTCCAGCCCCTCCAGACAGCCAACCACGCTCTCCCGGGCCCTTGAGAAGACCCTGATGGGAGGCCTGCTCTTCCAGAGCCCCACTCTGACAAGGGCTGATGGGTCCCTACCCGAGTGTGGGACCTGGGGCCCTGTGCCCTCGGCTTTGGGGCCAATGCCCTGACTGGGAGCCAACATCTTGGCCTCCAGGAGACAACATTGCCAAGTTATGCACCTCCTGAGGAATCCCAGAACCAATACAAGAAGGACGCGAAGTTTCCTGCCCTACCTTAAGTCCAGGGGAAGGGAAGAAATGGCTCCAGGAGGGAGTGGCCAGGCCAGGACTCATCATCCAGGCCTTTTGTGGCCTACAGGATAGTGCTGGGGAGGGGGGTAGAAGCCCACAGTGAGCCCCTGCTCCTCCCCTCTCTGCACCACAGCTCCCATGTGTGTGACCTAAAGGCCTGAGTACCCAGGACCCTTGGCTGACAGCAAGCTCTGTCCCAATCCCTTCCACCCCGCAGGCCAAGGAGTATGTGTGGATATTAGTTGAGTCAATGGCCATTGTGTGGCCTCAACAGAAGCTCAGTGGCAAATCCTGTCTGCCTCTCTCTGGGGCCAGCACATGCAGACCCCAAGGGGAAAGTAAAGGAGCCTGGTGGGGCAAGCTGGGGACTTGGGGTGTTAGGATGTCCTACGCCACTGGCCCCACCCCTCATCTCTCCTGGCACATAGGCAGGCAGCTCTCAACAGCTGGAAGCCCTAGGGACCAGTAAGAAAGAGGGGAGAGACTTGCCCTGTAGGAGAGCAGCCTCATGCCTTCAGTGATATCCCCAAGATGGTAGGCTGGCTGAGATCGGGACTGTCAGGGTGTGGGTCAGACAGGGCTGATCTGAAGAAGGGCTGGCGCCAGCAGCAAAACAGAAAAAACCCTGGACATTAGGTGACTAGGGTGAAAGGCATTGTGCTCAGTGCTCAGACGAGAGCACTGAGATCTGGGACTAGCCAGTGGCTTCTCAGCTGCCCCACACCCTGGCCGGGAGCTCTGAGGAGTCAGGTCACTTGGTCATAGTGAACAGTGGTCAGAGGCCCCTGCTGCCCAGATCTGGGCGGGCAGGTCTGTCCTATGACAGGCTTGGTCAGCGTCCAGCCCCCAGGTAGGGAAATCAGGCCTGGCTGGCCCGGCCACCTCTCCTGTGTGGGCAGGGCTGTGACACTGGCCACAGGAGGTCGGGCCTCAGTTAGTCAGATAGACCATGGTCAGCCTCTCCCCAGCCCTCCAAGGACCAGGATGCTGAGTTCCTGGCTTCCCCAGACCCAGCACCTTTGTCCCTTGTGCACAGGCTTGGCATGGCCAGCCCCTCCCTCTCCTGGCACAACCACACCTCACCCATTCACAGCCTCCTGCTTGCTCCTGGGTATGTCCTGGCCTGTGATCCTGCTCAGGGGTCTGGGAACTGGGAGGGCCTTGTGGCCAGGGACCTTCCCCAGAGCTCTCAGCATGCAAAGGGGCATTGTGCCAAGTCTCCCAGCAATGTTAGGGACTGCAAGCTGTGCCCAAGGAAGGGGTCAGAGAATCCCAAATTCATCTTTACAAATGAGAAAGCAGAGGCCTAGAAAGGTGAAGGGCCTGTTGAGGTGGCAGGACAAAGGGCTGAGGGTGCCCCTAGAAAGACTGGTCAGAAGCCAAAGAAGAAAGAGGGTAGGAGATGACAGAGAGCTCCCACATGGTCGGAGTCCCGCGTTAATAAAATGAATAAAATGCACACTAGGTTCCATCTGGCAGAAGGGAAGCAGCAAACCAAAACTGTCCTTGAGCAGTGATTTCCCAGAGTGTGTAGGAGGTTCTGCAGAGGCCAGCTTAATAGCTTGGGCTCTCTAGAGGCCTTCCTGGAGGCAGTGACATGTTGGTCAACATGGTTTTGAGAACAAGCCAGAAGCAACATGGGCCTGGCCACCACCATCAGAACTGGAATGGCCTTGAGCAAAAGGGGATCATGTCCCCTCAGAGCTGCAGGACAGACAGTCTCTGTACCCCAAGTCTCTGTACCCAGTCAGAAAACACCGCCTTTTCCCACGGTATAATCTGCCTTTGAAGAAGAAAGGACAGAATTTCCTAAGTCCCTCTATCTGTGTTTGGGTATTTGAGATGCTGGGTCCCGGCCTCAAGCCTCCCCAAAGCCAGAGTCCCGCAGAGCTCTCCAGAGACCTGGTCCTAGTGACTTTTGCTAGGGGAGTCCTTCTGATATCTAACCACACAATGTGCCCACTCATCCTCAGCATCAGCCTGGGAAAGATTTAGCCTTCAATTTCCCTGCCTGTACTATGAGTGGGATCCCTGTGCCCTTCCAGCCATGCCCCTGCCCCCATATATGCATCTTCATGCTCAAGGGCCCTGAGCCATTGTCATTACAGGCAATGAGAGGTGCTACCTTTTAAATGTCCATAATGATGATAACAATATCATGGCCAGTGCTGCTCTGCATCCGTGGAACTTGCCTTCTGCAGGCCTGGGGCATGGTCAGCACTGCACTACTGTGGACAGACTGGGGCTTTGAGGTGAACACCTTTGGCACACGGGAGGAACTCACTTTGGAGAAGGTATAGACCATAGTTGCCACACCACTGGCCTAAGGGGAAGCCTGAAGCCCAGAGGGCCACCCACACAGCAAGACGCTTGTTCCTTGTTCATAGGACACAGGCTGAGCACAGCACCAGGTTCCAGAAGCTCCCATGGAGAGAAGGCAAGCAACACACACAAAACCAACAGGTGGATGGGGAATTTCAGAAGGAATTTAAAGAGGATGATGGGACAGAGAAGGTGACCCATGAGACAGCAGGACAAGGAGTCAGCTGGTAGAAAAGTTGATACAGAAGTTCTGACCTGGGAGGGAGTGTTGGAGAGAGGAGGGAGTGTTGGAGAGAGTTCCAGCAACCCTATAGCCCAGAGTTGGGGGAGCACAGGGTGGCATGAGTTTCTGTCATAGGCACGGAACAGGAACTTTATGCAGGTACCTGTAGAACATTGAAACCAGAACGGGGTGGGGGGTGCCCAGAGACAGGCTGAGGCCCCCTCCCTACCTTCCCTGCTGGGAGCCAACACCAGGGGTATGGGGAAGGCATTTTACAGGAATCTCTGGACGTGGGTTGACCATGGACCCCAAGCAGGATCCAGTGATCTGCCTTCTCCCTCCCCCACCCCTAAATGTTTTTAATGCATTTCTTGGGTCTGGACTTTGTAAACTGAGGTGAAAGTCTTTAACAAATCGGCCCAGTTTTTTAAGTGAATAATTTGGTGGCATTTGCTACATTTATTTCATTGTACAACCACCAAGTCTATCTCATGCCAGAACTTTTTCATCACTCCAAATAGAAACAGTTTTCGTTTTACAGCTCACTCTGGTCCCGTGACCCTCCCCCTTGACTCACATCCTGGCAGCAACTGCCTGGCCATCTGGCACGGGCAGGTGAGGGCACCTGGCGGCCAGCAGGTACCTAGGAGCCAGCTGCTGCTAAGCAAACCACGGGGGAGGATAGAGTGTCAACATGGGGAGGGGACAGTCTCCTCCTCCTCCCCATTGGCCCCTCCCTGCAGCCCAGAGCTCAGGTGGGCCCTGGAGGTAAGGCCGTGGCCCCTCCCTAGGCCTGGTAACGCCTCCAATTATTGGCCTTGCCCCACCCCCATTGGGGCTGCCAGGGGGCCACGTGGCCACGCGAATGACCAGCCAGGCTTTCCCGGAGGCTGGGCCTCCCAGGACTGAGCAGGAAGTTTCCTGCCTGAGAGGTAGGCGCTGGGCCCCGTGACCACAGGCTGGAAGGAAGGGCAGAGGCCAGATAGGGCGTGGAGCAGGAGAGAAGGGAGGTAACTGGTGCCCCAGCAGGTGGTCAAGGGACTGTAGAACAGGCACCCAGGGCTAGAGAGAGGGTCTGTGGCAAAACTGGGAGGCAGCAGGTGCTGGGCTACCCTTCCCCTACCATCTGCAGCTATAGGAAGCACCAGCCTGACTGCTGCCTACATTTAGCCTGGCCAGGCAGAGCAACAGGGGCTCCCCCACTTTCTTAGATGTCTTTAGCTTCTAAAAAGTGTATTCTCCACAAGTCCAGGGCACCAGAGGTGGCGTTTCCTTTTTCAGAGAGTTAAACTAAATCTGGAGCCCCTGTCACCTTCAGGCAGCTGACTTCCGGCCCAGGTGGCTGAACCCTGGGGACGAAGGGAACTCCAGGCTGGGTCCTTGAGCACAGAGGGAGCCCAGGGCTGCCCAGGAGCAGGGAATGTAGCAGAATGGTCAGTCTCCAACTCCCTTGGAAAGGACAGTGACCCATGCCCAGGGCAATCTTGGGCGTGTCTGCGGCCGGCCTGGAGGAGGAGCCCCTTTGAGCCTCCACTCAGCCTCCTCCCCTCCCTCCCTCCCCTCCCCCTGCCCTCGCTGGCGCCTGGGCTGCTGCAGCTTGCCGGCTACACCTTGTCCAAGCCCGCACTCTTCCCTGTGTTCTCCTTGGCTTCTGCAGATGAGTAATGCCTCAGGGCTCCTGGGGACAGTCAGTGCCCCCCTGGAGCTGGCAACCTGGCCTCAGCTCAGCCCCTTACTGACTGTGCCTGCTGAGCCACAGATGGACCGTGTGGGAAATGGCTCCCACGGAGCACCCCAGCTCTTCCTCACCACCTCGCTGGCCCGCGGTATCTCCGGCATCTTTGTGTGGACCGCCCTGGTGCTCACCTGCCACCAGGTAAGTCTCCACGCTTCCCTTAGCGTCCCACTTTCTGTGGGACATGCCCTGGTGGGGCACTAGGACTAAAGGGCCTCAGGCACTGCCCTTGGTGCGGACAGGAGGGGCCCAGCTGGACAGAGGAACAGTGCCCAGGGGCTCTTACAGGTGGCACCTGACCAGGACAGAGGGGCAGAGGAGGGGGCTTCCTTCAGAACTCAGCTTGTGGGAGCTGGGCCTGAAGATAGGGTGTTTCTGCCAGGCAGGGGGCAGAGGCCGGCTCTTCACCAGACACTTGTTAGCCTTCAGCCTTATGCTGAGTCCCATCTCACAGACAAAGACACTGACCTAGTCAGCCCAGTGTCTTTCCCAGCAGGAATGGAAAGGCCTTTCCTCCAGAGGACAGCTGGCCAGGAAGGCTGGCAGGGTTGGACTTTGCTCTTAGGAAGCGGGGGCCAGGAGTAGGAGCTGGGTGCGGGCTTAGCTAGAAGGCCTCAGGAGGGGGTGCCCCTCAGTTTCCTCATGAAGGAATCAGGGGAGAGAAGACACACTCCCGAGTCCTGAGCTGCACTAGCTCCTTCCCCAGGGCAGTCACTGCTGAGAGACAAGACAGCTCCCCAGATGGAGAAGCACCAGGAGCACCCAAACACAGGGGTGGGGTAACACATGCAGAAAAGCACAGGGCCTACCTGATTGGGGGTGAGAGCTTGTGGGGCCCATGAGAGGGCTGCCTGGGCTGGACACTCGGGACAACTTGAGGAGCCTTGAACAATTGTGTGGTGGTTTGGGCCAAGCCTGGAGGTACTAGGGAGCTGGGGGTGCCGGGAGCAGAGCTGCCTTTTAGGGTAGTTCAGCTGGCACTGGTATAGGGAGTGGTCTGGTGGGGTAAACCCTGGGCAGGGGATAGTCAGGAGATTGGCAGGCAGGGAAGCGGTAGCCAGAGGCTGCCAAAACAAGAAGGTGAGATACACTTTGTGGTGAGAGACTCTGCTGTGTAGCCTCAATAACCAAAATATAGTGTGTAAGGCAGGCTCAGTCAATTATGATGTAGTGAAGAGTAGCGGGAGTAGGCAGTATTGTCAGTGTGTGTGTAGCTCAGCTGCCCAGGGCACCAAGGCCTGGATCACTTGGGCTGAGCTCCTGGCCTACCCTGGTCCTCCACACAGCCAGGTCCTCTTACCTGAGGAGTCCCAGGCACTCCACCCATTCAGAGCCCACAGGACAGCCAGAGGCCAGAGAGGACATCTATCAGTTCTCCAAGGCCACCTGGATAGGCAGTGCCAGCACTGGGAGCAGAATTCAGATCTCCCAATGGCTGGTCATGCCATGTCCTTCCCACAGCACCAGCTGGGGAGGGAATGACTGATAAGGAACCTGTGTCTGCTCCCAGCCAGCAGCCACCCCCGTGATGTGCCCCAGGGACCTGGACCACATGATGTCTGCATACACTGTTCCTTCTGCTCAGCCTGCCCTTCACCTGCCCGCTTTCCAACTCTACTCAGGGCACTGCCCCACCCCCCCACCACCAGGAAGCCTTCCAGAGGTGCTATGGGATCCATGTGTCCAACTCTCCATCTTTGCTTCTTTTCAAAGACAGTGTCTTTGTAAAATTTGCCTGTTCTGCTCCCCACTCCGTCTCTTGTGAATCCTCTCACCACCACCCCTACCTCTGACCTACACTCCAGTTCTTCTATGCAAAAACAAAACAAAACAAAACAAAAGACAGTGTCACTATTTTGGTATATCCTCATAGAAAACGTGGGCAATCTGGGAAGGTTTACAGACAAAAACGAGAATCACCATATCGCTCAGGGATAAGACTGGAATGGGTTTCCTTCCATTTTCATCACGTTTTCAACATGTTCTGGATCCTGCTGGATTTGTCAACATTTACATGTCACATAGTATCAGAGCATTTCCCCATAATGGCATTTGGGAGTGTCATTTTACTGACTGTGTACAGTTGTACAGTGTCAACAGCTGGGCCCACCACTGTGTGTGGGTCCTGTAGGGCTCTTTGCAAATCCTAATACACGGATCTTTTATTTCTGAAGAAACTTTTTCCATAGGACAAATACCCAGGAGGGAGCAGAGGATGTTAGCCCTTTTATGCCCCATGTTGAAATATGGGGTCACTTTCCCCCATGCCTATGCTCACTTACGGGCCATAAATGCCCCATCTTCCCCAGGTGACACCAAATTGACCTTAGAGAATTCTCGTTGAATGAATGAATAAATGAATGGATGAATGAATGAATAAGTGGCCCCAGTGCAGAGTATCCTACAAGGCAAGGGGCTAGCTGGTGCCAGGGAAGTCCCCGCTCAGGCTGCCCATATAGCAGTGGCAGGTGAGCCCCTGTTCCCCAGCTGCCCTTGTTCAAACCCAGATCTACCTGCACCTGCGCTCCTATACAGTCCCCAACGAGCAGCGCTACATCATCCGCCTTCTCTTCATTGTGCCCATCTACGCCTTTGATTCCTGGCTCAGCCTGCTCCTCCTCGGAAGCCACCAGCATTACATCTACTTCGATTCTGTGCGTGACTGCTATGAAGGTGAGGCTGCCATGCTCCAGGCCATGCTATGACACTCAAAGGGCCAGGCATGAGGATGCTTCCAGGGGCATGAACTCCCACCAACAGTCTGGGGGGCACCCCACCCTCCAGGAGGGGCTGCCTGATAGCCAGGATTAGCAATGCCAAGGGTGGGCTGGCCAGCATGAAACCAAGACTCCTGGGTTCCCGGGGGTGGGGGCTGCCACTGGGCCCACCCAGAGCCTGGACAAAACAAACAGGGCTCTAGATGAGTGTGGGGTAGGGAGTGGCATCAGAGCTTCAGTGATTTCTACAGGTCCTTCCCCTATTGGATGGCAAGTGGTCCCAGGGCGAGGCTAGAAGCATATGAAGAGAGATTACTGCTGTGTGTCCTGGGCCTCAGCTTGTCCTCCATGAAATAGGTGCCAAAAAATCTGGGGGCCAGAGTGGAGTCGTCAGGGAGAATCTCATGCAAGCTGAGAATCTGGTAGATTGCTGGGCTCAAAACCATCCAACCCTGTTCCGCAGCCTTTGTCATTTACAGCTTCCTGAGCCTCTGTTTCCAGTACCTGGGGGGTGAGAGTGCCATCATGGCTGAGATTCGGGGAAAACCCATCCGGTAAGCATCTCACCCCAGAGCCTACCAGGTCCCCTCCAGGCCAGGCAGCCAGCTGGGCTGGGGACGTGGCCTCAGGGACTTCCCCTCTGCAGGTCCAGCTGCTTCTATGGCACCTGCTGCCTCGGGGGCATGTCCTACTCTATCAGCTTCCTGCGCTTCTGCAAGCAGGTGAGACAGGGCTTGCTTCTTACCTGGCCCCTTCCAGCTACCTCCCATGATCTCTTGCTGCCCAGTGTGTGTGTTTGGGGCGGGGGGCATGGAGGGGATGCTGGCCCCATACACCATTCCCAGACCCATTAAGGTTGGGGCCACAACCCTCCTCCCTCCCCTCTCCCAGGCCACACTGCAGTTCTGCGTTGTGAAACCCGTCATGGCTGTGGTTACCATCGTCCTGCAGGCATTTGACAAATACCACGATGGGGACTTCAAGTAAGGACAGTCTACCATGCCAGAGGGAGAGGTGGGCTCAGCCTGGGGGGCAGCAGGTGGTTGGAAGAAGGCTCTCAGTAGAGAGCTCAGCTCGGCTGCATGCTGAGCCAGGAAGGACAGGTGCCTATTCCTGATGCCGGACTCGCTCCTCCCCTACCCTGCAGTGGCCCACCCCAGGGAGAGCACAGGTTGGATTTAAGGACACTTAGACCAAGGGAGCAGAGCTCCCGCTGGCCACTGGGGCAGAGAGGAAGTGGGCAGTGCTGCCCTGGCACACTCTCGGAGCTCTGCATCAGGTCACATGCACATACCGCACGCGCACACACACACACACACACTCACATGGAAGTACACGCACTCCCATGCAATTGTATGTGCACACAATTTCACATGTGTACACATGCATGGAGACTCACATGCAAACACACACATAGTCATCATGCTCACTTATTCATGGACACACTCATGCCCACCTACGCGAGTACCCGGTAATACACACATGTGCGTGTGTGCAAAAACTCATACACTCACATGCACAGACACACATTCACACAAGGAACATGCATGCCTGTGTGCCCACAGGATAGAGGCCCAGTCCCTCAGGCTGCACAGGGGGTGGGGAAAGGGTAGGAGGGCAGCCACAAAGCCTTACCAAACAGCACCCTCCTGCCCATGCTCCACCCTCAGCTTCTCGGTCACTCCCTTGAGGTGCATCTGTCAGCCCTGCGGGAGGCTCCAGACCTGGGTGGCTGCTGGTGCCCAGGTTCGGGGTGGTGATGGCAGTGGGAAAATGGCACAGCTGATAAGGATGGGGAGGGCAGAAGAGGATTGGGACCAACCCTGACTCCTGACACCTGCTTTGACCCTCAGCATCCACAGCGGCTACCTCTACGTCACACTCATCTATAATGTCTCAGTCAGCCTGGCCCTCTATGCCCTATTCCTTTTTTACTTCGCCACCAAAGAGCTCCTGCGGCCCTTTGAGCCTGTCCTCAAGTTCCTCACCATCAAAGCAGTCATCTTCCTCTCTTTCTGGCAGGGTAGGTGGGGTTTCTGGGGCAGGGTTGGAGCCCAGAGAGCCTGGGTTCAAATCCCACACCCACTTTCAGTTCCCTGGTGCCCTCAGGCCTAGCCCATTCTCCCAGGGAGTGGTCAGTGATACAGCCTGGAGAAGGGGAAACAGCAAGCTCCCCACACAGCGGGTTTGTGGATAGGACACACAGAGGACCGGGGGAGCCCTGTCCCCATCAGACCCTGGACCAGGTGGTGGCCCCCACTTTGCAGAAGAGGATGGGCACTGGACAGTGAGGGGTGGAGCTAGGGGTGCACCTAGTCTGGGGTTGGAGAGGTCAGAGTGGGCACTTGGGGAGCGCCTGGATATTGCTATGCCAACACCCAATCTTTGGAGGTGCCTGGCTCCTCTGAACCTTGGCTCCTTGGTATGGGAGCTCAAACACCATGTCACCATGTCATACACCTTGCTGGTTGGCAAGCCTCTCAGTGTGGGGGCGGGGGGGGCGGCGCATCACCTCTTCCTCTCCTCAGATCCCTGCCATACCCATGAGGCTGGCCTCAACAAGGTTCTTGGCTGGGGACAGCTCTGTCCAGCTTCCTATCCAGGAGGGTGTTTGAATGGCTGTCACCATCCCCAGGGATGCTACTGGCCATCCTGGAGAGGTGTGGGGTCATCCCTGAGGTCCAGGTCGTCGATGGGAGCAAAGTGGGAGCTGGCACACTGGCGGCAGGCTATCAGAACTTCATCATCTGCATCGAGATGCTCTTTGCCTCCATTGCCCTACGCTATGCCTTCACCTGCCAGGTGTACTCAGAGAAAAAGGAGAATTTGCCAGGTATGCCGGGTCCTGCCAGTGGAGTGGAGGGAACTTCACAACTTCATAGTTGTGGGCCTGAGATGGGGTGTGACGGCCAGTTCTCTGGGTGCTGTCTCACTCATGGGCGAGGGGATGTCTGTTTGTTGGACAAAGGGACATTCACGTGGAAAGGCTGGGCCCAGGACAGGTACCTTGCCTGCAACTCATCCAGCTGAGGAGACCAGGCAGGCTAGCAGCTGGTATGAGATGGGCTAGCCCAGATGTTTGAGCCTGGCTACCTCCAGTGATAGGGGGCTGATGCTTCTGAGTCTGGGGTGTCCCACTCACCACACCCAGGTGCTTGGACAGACCTGTCAGGAGAAGCCAGGGCCTGGCTGGCTGGTGCTTCTGCCCCTAACAAATGGCCTGTTGGGCAGGAGGTCCTGTGGCTGGTCAGCTTGGTGCATGTGATGGGCTCACCCCAGGCCCAAGACAAGATGGGAGTAGGTCAAAGCATTCTCCCACTGTGGCCCCTATAGAGATTCTGGGTTGAAGCCCCAATGCTGAGGCTTGGGTTTGGGGGGCTCCAGGCAGGCCAAGGCTAGGAGCTAGGGATTCAGGAGCACCACCCCTAGGCATCCCTGAGGTCTGAGGGGAGCAGGGTAATAGGGTAATGTCCCTGGGGGCTGACTATATGATGGATGAGATGGGAACCCCCCACCCACATGCTGCTTGCCCCCCTCCCAGCACCCCCAGCGCCCATGCAGAGCATATCTAGTGGCCTCAAGGAGACCATGAGCCCACAGGACATCGTGCAGGACGCCATCCACAACTTCTCACCTGCCTACCAGCACTACACACAGCAGGCCACGAACGAGGCCCCAGGACCCAGCCAAGGAGGGCACCCCTCACCCAGCACCCACTCCAGTGCTGCAGGTGGCTCTGGCGGGGGCAGGAAGAGTCGCAACCTGGAGAAGAGGATGCTGATCCCCTCAGAGGAACTGTAAGAGGGGCCATGAGGTCACCCGACGGGATCTGCAGACCAAGCCCTAGGGACAGGACAGGGCCCCTTGTCCGCCAGCCCTCTTGCCAAAGGCCAAGCATCTCCCAAGAGCCCGGTCAGGTCTGTGGAGCACACTGCCCATCCTAATGCCAGCTTGTGGAGAGGGGCTGAGGGACCCTGCTGGATGCTCAGGGGCCACCTAGTGGGTCTGCAGTCCCAGGAGAGAGCACCTGAGCATATTTGGGTTCACTTGACCATCAGGTCCCTGGATGGACTGGTTCCTGGCTGGGAAGCTGCAGGGAAGAACAAGCGTGTGGAGGGGAAGCACTGGAGATGTGGGAACACTGGTGGGTGGGGCCACACAACTGGAGGTAGGGTGACTCGACAGTCTTGCTGTGGCCCTCCTGGGTCTGTGGAAGGAGAGCTTAGGTTCCTCCACAGCTCCACAGCAGTCTACCAGACCCCCAGCCTCAGAGTCCCCCCACCACAATGCAGGTCTGAGAAGCCCCTGGGGGCTATTTCCGGGTAATGGAGCTTATTTATACATAAACACCCTGAGTTTTCTAGTGGTTCTTTTGGCTTCTGTTCTTTCAGGGTTAGTCAGTGAGTGACAAATGAGGCTACTGAGGTTGGTCAGAGTATGGGAGGGTTCCAGCCCACCCCAGGGCCTGAAGCCATGATCTCACTCAGAGCAGCATGGGGCAAAACATACTGGTTTAAACCAAATGCACTGCCTGCACACAGTGATCCCAGCTCACCTGCCCTTGAGACTTTTTTCTCCATAGAATGGGCCTCCTGCCAGCCTCGCCAGCAGTAGATGATGAGGCCGGCCAAAGCTGGGAGTGCTCAGGCACTGGTGGGGGGCCTTCTGGTTCACTTGCTCCAGATGCCAGACTGGTGTTCAAGATCTGAGATCTGGGGATCCAGAGAGCTGAGCCTGGGACACAGGCCTGCCCTTAGGATGCTGCAGGGACTGACCGGGGAACACGAGGCCTTCTGCAGGAGCATGGGAAGCACATGGGGAGGAACGGCAGGAGCAAAGGCACAGCAGTGGGGTACAAATCATGGTTGGTCTGTGCATCTGGGGTGTGCACTGGGATGGGTGGGAGCTGGGGGAAGGGTACAGGGGAGATGGGTAAGGCCTGGGCGCCAGAGCCTGCTGCCAGGCCAATGCAGCAGACAGGAAGGCTGGGCGGGCACCACCCAGCAAAGCCTACCCCACGTCCTGGCTGCCGGCTCCCACGGTCACCAGGAAAGGAGAGGCAGTGAGGATCTCAGACTTACAAGAGTGGGAACTAACCAAAAGTATCCATGCTGGAAGGGGGTCACCCCTGCCTCCTTGTCCCTGAGCCCGGCAGCTCAAGGCCAGCAGCCTCACACAGGGCCCAGTTGGACTGCCTGATAAGACAGGCAGAGTCTCCTCCTGCAGCCCAGCTGGCAAGTCTCCCGTTGTCCTATCAGGTCCTCGGAGGCTAGCAGATCCACAAGCTGCCACCCACCCCTCCCCATGTGGCTCCCATGGCCAGGTGTCTGCCATCTCAGTCAGCAGGAAGACGCATGGAGCTTCCTGGAGACCTGGCAACCAAGCAGGGAGGTTATCTGGAGGTTGCAAGAGTCAAGATGCTAGACTCAGCTGTGTGTGTTGGGGGCAGGCAGGGGGGTGGTGGGGGAAGTTGGGGGCTGCTGCCCTACAGGTCCTTACCCTGGAGGGCTGCTTCTTGGGGCCTGAGTTGCCCAAAGCTACGTGCAGAGGGTAAGTGGGTCAGGGAGAGCCAGGTCTCCTACAGTTGGGTGAGGTTCATTTGACTGGCTTTATGAGGGGAAGGAAGTGGGCATTTGCTGAACATTCAATGTGTTCCAAGGACTAGGGCAGCCCCAGCAACTTGCCCAAGGCCAGAGTTGCAAGAGGTGGACCAGTGCTGCAGAGGTCTGCCCTCCATGGTCATGGCCCCCACAGACATCACCATCTGTGGACCGTTATGACAATAAAGGCGTGAGGATGGTGCCCAGTGCTCTTGCCACCCACAGGTGGGGAGGCGCCCTGGAACCAGGCAAGTGTGGCCGAGTTTTTCCAAGGGCCAGGCACGGATGCTCATGAGGAAGAGGGGGTGGAGCGCGCGCATAATTTCTGATGAAAAAGCAGAGCTCTCCAACACCAGGCTCCCCTGCGGGGGCCGAGTAGAGACCGGCCCCTTAGCTCTGACTTTTGGGCTTACTTCAGGTCACCATACAGGATGCTTTGCTCTCTGCCCTAACAGTCTTCTCTCTCAACCCCCTGCAAACTCACCTGAGAGCCCCGCCATCCCTGACAAAACCAGGGGAGGTCTGGCCTGCAACTGGGTGCACATTGTGCAGAGGAGAGAGCCACTCTGACAGGAGCATCTGGTCAGGGTGGAGGGGAACTCTGCCCACTGTCCAGTGTGTGCCCAGGAGCTATGGGCAGAGGCAGCACTTCCTGACACACACCCTGACCCCTGGTGGCTGTCCTGCCTAGGACCTCAAAACATCCAGGTTTGCAGGCTGGGCGATCCTTTCCCAAGAGTGCCTGATGCCAGGCCTGCCCTCTGGGAGAGAGCAACAGCAATCGGGGCCTGGAGGTAGAGGGCGGGGCGGAGGGCTGCCGCCCCTGGGGCACTTGGTCCAAAGTCCCAGCACACGAGACAGATCTGAAACCGGAAAACTTTATTGAAAGGTACAAAAGCGTCACAGCAGAGACATAGGGCAATAAATTAGGTGGTGGCCATGAGGGGACAGGGCGGGCATGGGCACATGTCACAGGAACAAGGATCACAACACAGGATCTTTTCAATAATTTATAACATGATAGAAGCAGCACAAAAATAAATATTGAAATGAAACTGCTGAGCGGCCACGGAGGCGAGGAAGGCGGTGCTGACCTTACAAGGAGGCCCTGTCACCTGGAAAAGGCAAAGGCGCTCCTTCGCTTGGAAGGACAGGAGCCAGAAGCACAGGAGACAGGGAAATGAGCCTCCACTTGATAAAGAGGACCTTGCCCTTTTTATTAAATTAAAAAAAATCCATATATTAAAACTGTGACAATGAAAGCTCAATGATCTGGAAGGAAAAGCACAAGGGAACGTGCTCATCGTCGTCCCTGGCCCCCGGGACGGGGACAGGCAGGGGCTGCGTCCTCGCCAGGTGGCCACAGTAGCGCCCTCTGGCCCAGAGGCTGAGGGCAGCAGCCAGCACTCTGTCTCAAAGGACAAGGAGCTCCAAGAACCCTAAAGTGGACAGGGCTTTTCCCAGGGGTGTAGCAGCCCAGTAGGACCCCAGGTTGGTGTCGGGAAGGTGGCCCTGGGACCCCACTGGGAAAGGCAAGGCAGGAAGACGAAGGGAGGAGGTGGACCGCCCAGTCTTCCTCCTCAGAGCCAAGAGCTGGCTGGCGTGTAAAAGCCAGGAAAGGGCGCTTCACCCGAATCCTACCCACACTCAAGTGCAGCTCTGCACTAAGATTTACAGTATCAAACAGGAAAAGAAGTTACGAAAAATCTGTACGATAAAATGTGTATATAATTTTATATATATATACTATATATATATATATACTTCTCTCTCTCTCTTAAATATTTCCCCATGGCCCTTATTGACATCCAATGTGGATTACCTACCATGGCTATGGTATCAACAGCTTTTTTTTTTTTTTTTAAACACCAGGTCGTTTGGGTGCTCCCAAACCCTTTTGCCTTCACCCAGAACAGGAACAAGGTCACAAGGCTTTCTATTGGCTGCTGACAGTAGACACAGAAGCAAGACACAGCCCTTGGGGCCGGTTGTTCTCAATCCTGCTCTCCTGGCATGGCTGACACCTGCCCAAGGCTCTGCAGCTTGCTGGGGATCTTTCTGGGTCGGGGGATCAGGTCAAGTGGAAACCAGGAGCTGGAACCCTGCAGTTTCCAGCCTGTGGAAGGGTTTTCAGTTCACCCAGACCAGAGCCCCAGGACCCAGTGTCTCAGCATCTTCATGGGAAGGACAGGAAGGGGTACCCCAGCAAAGGTCACCAAGATCATCAATGGCTCAGAGCTCCAGAAAGAAAGAGCAGGTGAAGGTTCCAGGCAATTAAGCACCAAAGTTGCAGAGTCCCCTTGTCCCTTCTAAACTGACAGACAATCCAGATGCTCCTGGGAGCAGCCCATGCTGTCCTCCCGGCCCAGTGCCCATCTCTGACCCCACCTCACCTCATCCTCTGATCCCCACCTGTCTCCCTGCTCACTTGCTTCCTCCAGCAGCAGCCAGAGGTCCCTCTGCTCCACGGCCACTCCTGAGACCATCACCAACGTCATGCCATCCACACACAACATCTTCCCTTTCCCACCTCCAAGCCCCCAGGGTCTCCTAGGGGCAGCATCAGGGCAGGCTGGCTCCTAGGCCTGGCAGCTACTCCTCACTGGGAACCTCCTTCAGGTCACCCCAACATCACAGGAAAATTCTCAACACTCATGCCTGAGCTCCCACCAAGTGACACTGGGGTACTGGTCTGACTACAGGCACATGTGTGAGCATGGTGAGCGTGTATGTACATGCACACACATGTGCATGCACATATGAACACACACACACACACCCAAGCAGCCCTTCTAACACCCACTTCAGGGGCACAGGTCTCTGGCTAAGGCTAAAGCAGGGTCATGGTGCATGCTGACACTGGGGACAAGTGGTTCCTCCTGGGACAGCCAAGCTCAGTCAGGGCTAGAAGGGGTCAGGCACCGGCCTGTGGGCAGTGGGGGCACAGCTACCTGCAAAAGTAGGCTGCTCACAGGAGGGGTGGAAGACAGATTCCCGCGGATAGGTCACAGTGCCAGGGGACAGGACCCTTTTGAGGACCTTGCTCCCACACATCCTGACATCCCCCCTTCCCGGCATAAGACATTGACCCCTGAGAACAATCTGGAGAGCCCTGGCTGAGCCCAGAGAAGGCGGGGTGCGTGTGCGTGTGCGTGCATGTGGGAAGGTGTGCAGCACACAGGTTCCCAAGACCCTAATCTTCATCCTGTACCTATAGCCTCGCCCCAAAAGGGAGAGCTGGGAGTCTGCTCCCATGGGACCCTCCAACAAGCATGAGGGACATGTCCACCACCAGCGCCCACCCCCTCACCCCCATCGGCCAGGCACTAGGATGCGGCCGAGAAGGGCACAGAGGTGGAGAGCTCAGTGGACTTCACAATGGTAATGACACTGGTGGTGGCCACCTTGGTAGGCGTGATGGGCCCGCGGGCCACAGTGCGGGCGAAGGTCTGAAGGGCCTCATACTTGGAGCGCAGTGCATCGAGCTCCAGCTTCATGGTGCTGTTTTCACGAGCCAGCTTCTCCACCTCCTGCTGCAGCTCCACCCGCTGCCGCTCCAGCTCCTCCTTCTGTGTGACCCGCTTGATGCGGCAGCTGGCAGCATAGCCACGGTTCTTAAGTGTGCGCCGGCGCTGCTTCAGGCGCACCACCTCGTCTTTGGTGAGGCCCCGCAGGTGCTGGTTCAGCTCCCGCACGGACATGGACACCAGCTCATCATCGCTGAGCACTGGGGCGTTCTCGCCCGCCTCCTTCTTGACCTACAGGATCCACAGCAAGAGGTCAGCATAAGGAGCACCCCTGTTGTGAAGAGCCCAGACCCTGCAGCACAGAAAATGGGCCGTACTCCCCTGATGTACCCCGAGCTGGCCTTCACTTTGCCATGAGGGAACGGGACCAGTCACTGGGGCCACTCAACAGCGTATTATGCAACAATACAGGTTGCTTGAGGAGGGGGCATTAGCTATACCCGACTATCACCCCGTTACTACAGGCCAAGGCATGGCTGCCTTCTGGGAATCTCCAGACCCAGCACAGGACTGAAAGTGAGGGATGGGAAGTTAGGTAGCCTATCCTTCTGCCCCGTTTGCCCCTTGGACTTGTTAAGGTCTAGCAGGACAGGGCTACCTCTGCCTGGCAGGACCTTGGAATGGGGCTAAGTTCAGCTAGTCATGCCAGGAGTCCTGTGAGGCCGGCTGGGTAGTGAGCACTTTTGGAAGCCAGGCCCTAAGGATGCAGGACTGGCCAGCAGGCTGCCACCCCACCAACCCCTCAACCTGGGAGTCTTTTCTCTGGACGTCAGAGGCAGTGTGTCTCTCTAAGACACAAAAACTACTCCTTCCCTGGTGATAAGGGGCTGCCAGGGGTAGAAGGGGTCTTTTCAGGCGTGTGCCCAGGCAGATAAGTCTAATCCCACCTCACTTACCTTTAATGCCTTGTTAGGTTTGGGAGTAGTCGTCATAACCTGGGCACAGTCACCTGGACAGAACCGCTTGGAAATCGTGACTAGAAAACCACAAAAGAAAACCAATACAAGCTGGTTAGGTCCTGGCCAGGCTGCTGTCACAAGCAATCCAAGCACAGCAGGCCCTCACAGCAGAGTGCTCCCAGGAAACTGGACTCTTCCCTGGCCTGTCACAATGAAAAAAGGCCCACAGCACCCACAAAATAAGACGGGGGCCCCACCCATCCTGAGTAGCAGGCATCCCACCAAGGATGCTGAGGAGACACCCAGCTATACGCCCCAATCCAACATCAGCTCACAGAACAGCCCAGACCCACCTGTCCCAGTGCCTGATAGTCAAACGATTATCCCTTGCTGCCCCCCCCACCCCCCACCCTCCGCCCACCGGGCTTGTGCTGCAAGCTGCTAGTGCTGGGGGTGATACCAGGTGTGAGCAGGTATTGCTTCCTGTTCTGACTCCCTCCTGAACTCAGACGTCTGCACCTGTGTGGCACAAGACACCACATTTAGGGTCAAAACAGCAGCAAAGCCCTTCTGAGAATGGCCCAGCGCCTGAGAAGCTGCCAGGGACAGAAGCGGCTCTGCAAGAGCCCTGCACTCCAGGCCCAGACAGGATCCTCAAGAGCAAGGGTCCCTTCAGGAAGCCTTGCCCTTGCGGAAGTCGCACCCCAGCAATGCATATGGAACCCTGCCCAGCCCTCCCCGGCAGACCTACCTCCGCAAAGGGCACTGCAGCTGTGACATCACCATGGCCACTGGGGCTGCCCTACAGCCATGACTGAGGCCCAGGGTGGGTGGGGGCTCCCAACAACGGGGGGAGACCAGGGGAGGCAGGGAGCTGCAACCTCACTGAGCTCACCGACTGTCTGGTGGGAGTTGTCCCAGGCACCCGCCGCCAGCCCCCGCGCCCGCCCTTCTCATTCTCGCGTCTGCATTGTGTCACACATTCTAATCATTCATGAAAAAGCCAGCCAAAGCATCCCAAGCATGATTCCCCTCTGATAGTTGTCATGGCGACCTTGGGAAGTAGCCAACCCCTGATGGTCGTCATGGAAACAGAGAAGCCCAAAGCAGCCATGGCTTCAGGCTGCCTGTGCAGACATCACGAGGTTGTAGGACAGTAAACAAGGCCGTGGGCCTCAGTAGGGCAGCAGGAGAATGGGAACCGGACTTGTTGGCATGTGGTATCACCAGCTTAAGGGATCAGGGTCTACATTACCCACCCCACCACATTCCAAATGACAGGTGATGTGAGCAAAGAGAACCTGAGAGATGCACCCCAGGTGGGGGACTGGGGCCCCAGGGGACAGAGTCACATCATAGTCTCCCTCATGGGGCATGAGCAAGACTCCTACCCCACCTTCCCTTGCCCAAAGCCAGGGCCCCTGGCTCCCCTGTGCCCTCCACCCTTTGCTCCCAGAGGCTGCACATGAGACAAGGGCTCAGCGCCCCAGCTGCAGACACCTGATCACCCCTCTGAGGGGTAGGATGGATTATGGAGAGGGCAGCAGCGAAGGAACGGCAGGCTATGACCTCTAGGCGTATTGGGCTCCTCTGCCAGGACTGGGCACCCTCACGAGGTCACATTCGAGCCTGAGAAGGACAAGCAGCCGTATGGGCTGATCCTAGCCGGGAGGTAAGAGCTGCTTCCTGACAGCCCTTGATCCACTCTTCCCTCCCGGTACTGGGGTCAAGGCTCTGCCAGAGAAGGCTGCCGGGAGAGCCATGAGAAACTTTTCCATGTTGAGAGGAGGGGCTGGCGGGCATCTCTTCCAGCCCCCTCAGCGTCAGCGCACACGGGCCTGGCCGGAGCCGCCAGGGCATAGCTGTGTGGTGAGTCACGGCTGTTTACAGAGCTGGGAGCTCACATTCCCACAGAGCCTGAGCCCCTCCCACCCCTATAAGGACCTGCTCTCAGTGGATAGGAAAGGAAGGTCCCAGGGAAAGAGGGGTCTCTGCTCAGGCCCCCACGCCCATGGAAGACCCAGGCTAGGTCGTGGGGTTATGTTCAGGGTAGGGACCCCCTCCTTTGAGGAGCTGCCTGCCATGACATATGGTGTGATGGGACAAAGTGATTGGGATATGCATAAAGACTAGGTCATAATTCTCGTGGATTCTGGCCCTCCCCTCCAAGCAAGCTCACAGGGTTGAGTCACCATCAGCAACGTCAAGGTGGCCTGGGCACACTTCTTTGGACTTCCGGGGAGCCAGGACAAGGAGTCTTGACAGAGATGGGAAAAGATTATTCCAGGGTCCCACCTGGGGTCCAAACAAGGAGGAACACATCTCCTACAGAAAGCATCATGGTCTGACCTCAGGGAAAAGTTAGTCCCCAAACCTTGTGTTCAAGAATTAAGTGAGGGCTGGGCTTCCCTGGTGGCTTAGGGATTAAGTCTCACGACAGCCTGAGTTCGATCCTTAGCCAGGGAGCTAACCCACTTATGGTGCAGCAAACTTCTCCTGTCTCACTGTCTGTCCACCTAGCAGTGTATTTCTGTAGATCTGATCGTTCTGCTCTCCACTCTGTCTCTGGTGAATCCTCTCGCCCCCTGCACCTCTAGCCTACACCCCAGTTCTTCTATGCAAAAATAAATAAAACCTTTTTTAAAAAGAATTAAGTGAGGGCTGAAAGAGTGAATGCACAGTGTAGAGATGATGGTTATCATCACCTTGAGAGAAAGTTGGGGGGAATAGTTAAGTAAACCATCTTCTTTCAGTGGGCTGTACTCTCCTCTTCTGAAAAATGAGGGGGTTGAAACAAAGGGGTCCCAGGGTACTGTCCAGCTCTGACAGATCTTTGATTAAGTCCAAGAGGATGACACAGAGAGACTCTGGCTTGGGGTCCCTGCCCTGGCCACCACCCCTCCCACCCAGCCCCACAGACTCAGGGAAGGTGGGTCTGTCCCAGGCTTCAAGCTCATAAGCATGACCCCACTGCCTCAGGCGCATCTGAAATCTGATCCCCTCTTCAAGAACCCTGCGTCTGTCCGCACTGGGAAGCCCTGACCACCCGCAGGAAGAACAGCAGGCACCAGCACCCACTCAGAGGTTCTTCCCTCCCACCCCCACAGTATGTACCAGGAGCACCCTCGGAACAGCACTGTACCTCTTCACACAAAATACAGAGGTACGGTACGGACCTAAAGTCATTTCAAGCCAGGAAAATGACAGCTGGCTTTGAGAAAGCTGTACAGAGGAGATTCCTAAGCGTGAAAAGAGTTTTTAAAACAATTGATTTCAAAATGACCTACTCTAAAATGGATACTTCTGCAGCCACAGCAGCTGGTCTGAGACTCCAGGGAACCCAGTTGGGGTTGGAGATGTAGCCTTGGGCGATCAGGGTGGCAGGACAGCCCCAGCAAAGCCCTCCGCTCGTTGCAAGTCTGATGCCAGCATGACTGCATCTATAAAGGCTCAGCACCCAAAAGTGCCATTCCCGCAGCTTCAAATGACTTGCCTGGTCCTCTGTCCCACGTAACAAATTTTCAGCAATGCTGTGCACAGACAACTCCCGTGCACTTTTCTGAACTTCAGTAAAATCACCACTCACAGTCAGTGCCAGGCTGGGACCATGACTGTAGATCTGCACTTGTGCTCAGCTTCCCACTAACTGCCCACCTCCCAGGGAGTCTGCCCCGTCAGCACTGTAACTTTTAGACAACTATTTTTCTAACTGAAAAGGTTGATTTTTCAACCCAAAGCAGAAACTTCACTCTAATATACACCTAAACCAGGTTAACAGGAAAGATCATTTCCTCTAAAGCAAAAGGAAACACAACAGCGGCCCAGATGGAGTCAACCCCAAGTGACTATATATTGTAATTTGGAATAAATTAGAAGAACCCAGCCAGGAGCGTCCCTTGCCTTCCAGACCCCACAAAGAGCAGAAAAGTGCTGCTTTATCCAGGAGAGGCTCAGAATTCTGTCCTGGGCATCCTGAGGGTGGGAGCAGGTGACATCCGACAGTCCCAAACTGCCCTTCCAGAAGGCAGATGAGCAGAGGCCTTTCAGGTCACTTCTTACTTTCTACCTCCCAGTACCCATCTACTGTCAGCCCACACTCTTTGACTTAGCTCATCTGGGATAACTCAAACCCTCACTGGGCTGGATCTGGGTTCAGGACCCAGGGGGGACCTTTACTCTATCAATAAAACCAGGTGCTGATGGTATCAATGGCTTCACCAAACAGCCCTATGTTTAAATCACGCAGCAGAAAAGGCGGTCTTACAGTTTCAAAGGGTTCTATTTCTTACTTAGATCAAACAACTAGTCTACGCCCAAGCTTTGTGTAGGGAGAAAGCCAGGTACCTCGTTGGGACTGTATCTCTGAGGTCTGGCATGGGTGGGCCCTTGCAAACACTTGTCCCTGTTGGTGTGCAGTGAAGGCCATGCCACACCCCCTTCTGCCAACCTAACAAAGACAAGAGTACCCCTTCACTTCCCATTCTCCTAGGTCTCTGAAAATGTTAATGGGTAAAATGAAGAGGCAGGAAGAAGGAGGAGGGAAGAGGATCAGTGACTGACTCACCCTGAGGGTGCAAATCTCAAAGCCAGAAGACCTGGCCAACTCTGCTCTGGGCAACTGGAGGTCTTTTCACAAGTAACCCCAAACCGAGTGCCCTCCGGTGGGCACCTATCAAACAAGCACAAATCGCCAGCTTGTCTAAGCCCAGAGCCAGGGCTCCCAACCACCCCACCCATCTCTGCCCACCAGGCCCTAATCCTCCCGCCCAGGTCCCTTCAGCTTGGGGTGCATCCTGCTGTGCTTGTTGGACATCCCCTCAGCCCAGCCCACACCCAACCTGCAGGCTGGCGCTGGCTGGCTGCCCTCCAGCAGGACGTGACTGTCTGCCCAGTTGGAGGACGTCTGTCACTTGCCTTTGCAGTTAGAGGAAGCCGTGTCATCCTGGCTACATCCTGAGGTGACTCAGGGCTGGGGGCAGGCTGAGTGCCACCCCCCCCACCCACCCCCCCACCCCCCGCTCGACCAAACCCCTCACCCCCACTACCAGTTTCAGGCCACTGGCTTCCCTTACCCCCCACTGTTGGACCTGTTGCTTCCAGTCTCTCCCCTGTAGGGTGCCCCATCTTCTCCCCAGCCCATTTTATGCATCCAGGACTTCAATCTATTCCCAGCCTTTACATCCAGCCAGGAATGTCCCCTGGAAAAAGTGACATGCCGCACATCTGACAGGCCCCAGAGACTTGCACCCTGAGTCTCCCTCTCGGCTGCATCAGCTTTAGCCTCTCCTTCCACCGCATGAATCACTCAGAAGTCGCCCTAATGCCTCATTTAGCCTCTCCTTCCACAACCACATGCTGACCCTGGCCTGCTGGACTCAGTTTGAATCTCCCTGCAGCAGTCACCCTGGCTCCCTACCCGCTTCTTCTCCAATTGCACTCTGATCCAGGTCCCTCAAATGCAGCCTTTCACAGGGAGACGGAGGGATCCCCTGCCCCTATGGCCACCTGATGCTCTTCCAGGCCTGCACCTCTGGCTTCTCACAGAGCCCTCCCCACATGTCCTGAGTGCTTTCCCACTTCTAGGCTGGGCTCCCTCCTGTACTCTCCCCTCGCTTCACAAGAAAGTAACCACACATCATGCTTATCCTGTGGTAGTCAGCACACTCTCCTGAACGAATATTCAGGGCAGCACCCAAACCTGGTATCTCTACCCAAAGGTCTGCCCCTTCCTGGATGAAGAGCAGAGGACACTCTCAGCTACCAGGGCTCCTACAACTCTTGGCAGGTAAAAGAATGGCTACATAAGAGAGATATCGGTCCTGCACTGAAGGCAGAGAAGCTTCAGGGTGGCTTGACACCAAGATCTCTCTGTCCCTCTGGAACAGGGCATCTAGATAGGTGGCCCAGAAAAGTAGAATGCCACACCGGACCCTGGACTCTGCCTCACAGGCTAAAGGGAAGCTTGGTTTCCTCATCTAAAATGGGGCGTATGGACCATGTGATCCCCCCAATTCACTTCTACCTGCTCTTAAATCCAATGATTTTAAGGTAACACTTTCAATTTCCTGAAACTGTAAGAAAGAGGAAACATGAGAGTGTGTGACTTATAAAAAGCAAAAGTAAATACCGGAGCAATGCATCTTCCATTAGCAGTGAGCAGGGAGGCGGAGCAGGAGGGTGAGTCACTGTTTACTGCTCTGAGGAGCAGTTACGGAGAACGCTCCCAGCTGGCCAGGGCTCCACTTCCCCTGTGGATTGGACCCTAAATCCAGAAAATCCACTCCAGAAACCTTTAGACTTGGAAACAGCCAGGACCCAGGCAGGACTTCTTCCAGGTGGCCAAAGATTGTAAACAAACTCTCCAGCTATCAGTGCACGTGTTCTGCGCGGTGGACAAAGAATGGTCTGGAAAACGACCCCACGCAGTGGCAGCCTCAGAGTGCAGGAGTAAGACTGGAATGCAGCAAGCCCTACACTCAGCAAGGGCCACTTCCCCAACTCACCCCTATTGAGCTCCCATTTTTAGCAACCACCTTGAAAGTAATCAACTCAGAACTTGGAGCAGGGCCCTTAAAGGCCAGCTATGTTCAAGCACGAATGGCGAATACGTTCCAGGGGGAAGTGTCACTGTGTGTTTTTGATTTAATAAACATTTCTTTTTGGAATGACGAGAGATCTAACTTTTAGTTATAAAAGCAGAACCCTCCCGCCTCCCCCTCACCATGATCAAACTGGAACATTCCTACTGGGTTATCCAGTGAGGAAAGTTTTCTTAAAGGTACCCACAATGCAACAGGTTACAGGTGTGCCCCACCCACTGCCTGGCCAGCCTTCAACTTCCTACACCATACCCACCTGCTTAGGCTAAAACCTTTTTAATAGGTTCCACCCACCTGAAGACATCAGGCTTGGAGACACCAGTCTATCAAGATACTTGTGCATAAAGGCAAAACTCAATGCCAGTAAAAGGGGAAGGGAAGGCCAGCCACACTGGCACAAGAACCCACTGATCCTAGCAGTCTGTGCCCCACACAGTTGCAGGTGCTTCCCAGGCCAGGCACCTGGCAAAAGAAGGTGGCCAAGTGCTGGTCATCTGCTGAATGAATTGTTAGGGGGGAGATCCCATTTCTGCCTTGGCTACGAGAGCTGTGTGAACAGCAAACAAGAGCGTAATCATTAACACAAGGCGGAGTACGAACTTCCAGCAACCCCAACACGAACTGCTCCACCAACTGGGCAAGTGTCACACTGGTGAAAAAACTCCACATTAGTTGGCAGGCGAGAATACTACGGGAGACAGAGGGCAAGTAACTTGCTTTTCTAAGGTAGACGTGGATTCTCGTTTCCCCAATGTTCTACTCCAGGGAAGGAGTGTAGAAGCAGACTGACTGACACACTGTTTCCTGACCCCAGATAATCAGAAGAATTGCATTCAGAGTTACAGGAAAACCCCATTCACACACGAGAAAAACAATAATCAGGCCGTGAGATTTGGGGATGGTGACATCCACCCCTGCTCGCTCCCAGCTCCCACCGGCAAGTCATAAAGTGGTATCGGTTAAGTCTCCTTTCGCCGCTCCGCCCCACCTCCCCAGAGCAGTGCAGACCCTGCCCGGCGCGCAGGTGCTAGTGACCGCAGGGCAGGGGCAAGATCTGGGCGTCGCCAGCAAGACTAGCAAGGGCTGAGGACGCAGGGCCAGGGGCCAGGTGAGAGAGGCCCGAGGCGGTCCCGCGCTCCGGTGCACGTGGCGCTTTATTTTCGCCCCCGCCTTCCCGCCTCCAGCGGCCCTCGGGAGGTCCGAGGCCGCACGGAGGGCAGGGCTAGGGAGGGGGCGCCGCCCCATTCCCGGCTCTCCCCCAAGCACCACCACGCCAGGCCCGGCGCTGGGCGGGGGGCGCGGGTGCGAGGGCCGGGACGAGGACCTCCGGCGCGCCCCGGACACCGACACCTTGGCGGCAGGTGCGCCGGCCGGCCGGGTCTCGGGGTTCCGCCCGACTCCGCCGCGGGTCCGGCGGGGCGCGGCCGTGACTCAGCGACGAGCGCCTCGAGCCCCGCCACCCCCGCCCCCTGACCCCGGCCCAGCCCCGCCGGCCGGCGGCTCCTCACCTGGCGTAGCGCGGGGGGCGCGGCGGCTCCTCACGAGCACGCGCTCTCCTCGCGTTCACTCTTGCGCTCCCTCCCGGCCGCCGCCGCCGCAGGCGCCGCCGCGCGCTCCGGCTCCGACTTCTCGAAGAACAACAAGTCCCCCCACTGCCAGCCCGCCCGCCAGCCCGGCTCCCCAGCATCTGACACCGCTTCCGGGATTGGCGTCGGCGCGCGTCACTTGGCCCCACCCACCTTAGGCCCCGCCCACCGCGCGCCACCACCCGGCGACCCCGCCGCCGCCCCGCCTATTGAGCCAGCCGCTCCACCGCCCCGCCCACCACTTACGTCATCGCCCCGCCTACCCCGCCGCGCCGCAGGCCTGCCATCGCCCCGCCCACCGCGTACACACGCGTTCCGCCTACGCCAGTCCCGCCATCGCCAGGCTCACTCCGCGGTTCCGCCCACCCAGCGCTAACGCCCCGGCCCCTAGGGTTCCCCCTTCGCAGGCCTAGGCCTCCCGCGTCCGCCCGCAGCCTTGGTCCACAACTCCTAGGCCGGGAGAATAGCGACTGTGCGGACGCGGCCAGAGCGCCATCTCTCCAGCGCTCACCTGTGCAGAATCAGCAGACTGCACCTGTGCTCGCGCGCGCCCGTGCGCGCGATCTCCGTGGGCGGGCCCTAGCGCGTGTGGCCCCACGCGTGGCGGCAGTGGCCTGTCGGGCTGCTCGGGGCCAGGGGCACCCCGGTTTGCCCTCCAGGGCTTCCAGGCTCCGGAGGGGATGACCCTTAGCTGGGCCCCACTTCTTAGCGCCCCACATGAGTCCCCAGTCTCAGGGACTTGAGGCCCCCACTTTTGTCCCCAGGGTTGGACCCACAGCAGGCCCAAGACTGGGAAGCCACTCGCGATGTTCGCAGAGGGGAGTCAGACTGCCCGAGAGTGCTCTCTGAGGGACAGGGCTCCGGATGTGACCACAGTAGCAGAGTGGTGTGGATTCCCCATCAGAGGACACGCTGACTGTGTCAGGGGCATAGCGGACACACAAAAAGGGGCATCCCCTGCCGCCGGGAACCCCCAGCTGTCTTTTGATTTCTCATTTCTGACCCAAAAATGGATAAGGAAAATGATTTCTCTTCCATAGGCAAATAAAGAATGTAAAATGGTTGTAAATGACTGATCCAGAGCCTCAGCGTCGAAGGATCTGGGGGTGGGCATCTAAAGCCCCAGCTGCTGGATGCCATGGGGAGGCTTCCAGCAAAAGCAGGCCCAGAATGGGCTGAAAGCTCTCCAGGCCTCAGAACAGGCTCCTGAAAGGGGAGCTATGCCTACTGTCACCCACTAGTCAAAGCTGGAGAGCGGACCAGTCCAAAAATCACAGGGCTCAACTGGCCTCACCCCTCTCCCTCAGCACAGGGAAGGGAGATCAAGACTTTAACGGCTCTGGACTCCTCTTTCAGAAATATGAGTTCTGAACAAAGCAGGAAGCACACCCAGGCTCTGAGAGTGAGGCAAGTTCCCCTGCACCCACTGCGAGGGGTTTTGCAGTTTCCGGGCCCAGAGGCCTTCGGAAGTATCCTGGGAAACATGGGAAAGTGCCAAAAAGTTTTGTGAGGCTTCCGTTGGCAGTTAGCACCACAGCAGCACAGTGTTTAGGAGGCCATACGGGCTTCTTGCTGAGGGCACCTGGGCTTTTTTCTGAGTGACCCTCTCCTGGTGCCTGTGCACTGGCTGGCTTGCAGGGGAGTGCTCACTGCTCACAGGAACAGCTCCAGTAAACAAACCAACAGTGGCCCCATCCCATCTCTCAGGACCTTTCCGGGATTTTCCCCTGGGATTCGAAGGTGCCTCCCCTTTGTCCTTGCCAGCACCCAGTCCTCAGATGCAAAGCTGCCGCTTTTCCGGTCTACTCTGCAGGACTCCATCCCAATGATAGGGAACAATTTCCTTTCTCTTGGGTGTCCACATTTCCCTTACTTGATTGTAGGTCTTTTCATATTAACTTTGGTTACTAATAGCGCTAACTATTGTTGTTAACTATTTGAGAGCAGGACTTAGAAAGGTTGGAATTAGGCAGCATGGGAGATGAGGTAACATTTAATGTGTGACTTAGGGTGTAGGGGAAGCTTCTGTCGCTCAGACTCAGTTTTCTCAACTTTGAAATGGGCCTGATAAAATAGAAAGGCTTTTTCATACATGGTTTGGGATAACGTGATTACCATTTAGGAAAAGGTAAAGCTGGGTCCAAAATTTAGCCACATCACACAGCAGAACTGTAGATTTCAGAGAAATCAAAGATTTAACATTTTAAAAAGAAACTCTTAAATGATGAAAATCTTCTTGGTAGTGCTGATGGTTGCACAATGATGTGAATGTACTTACTGCCACTAACTACACTTAAATATGGTGACAGTGGTAAATGTCACCTGAAGTATATTTTACCACAATAAAAAGTAAACTTAAAAATCCATTTAAATAGTGCAAGAAAACATGAGTGATGTCCTTTATAACTTTGGAGTGGGAAAGGGTTTTTCTAACCTTACTTAAAAATTCAGACACCATAATAAAAATTTTAAGGCAGAAATCACCATAAGCAAGGTCATAACAAAGTATATACTAGGAAAAAATATTTGCAACCACGTCACAAAGGACTATCTCCCTCTATACAAAAGACTGCTAGAAATATGAAAGGGAACAAGCAATGAAAAGAGGCCAAGGATATGAACAGAGTTCACAGAAGGAAATCTAATTGACAAACAGGACAAGCTGTTCATTACAAGAGAAATGCACATTAAAATGACATTGCAATTCTGTTTCTTATCTACAGAATCCAAAAATCAGACCACATCCTCTGACTACATTACTGCTGAGGTGAGGTGGAGCTGAGGCGTGCATTGCTGGAGGTACTTTGCTGGTGGGGATGTGCAGGGGGAGTTGTGGGGTACTTTGCTGGCTGGGGCACGCAGGGGGACCTGTGGTGATACTGTAGTAAATAGAAGAGCAAGCTTCTGTGATATAGGGCCACAGGGAGAGAAGAATGTGTTGGGGTGTTTGTCCCTGCAAAGGAGAACTAGGGAGAAGAGCCCATCATTAGGGTTTCCCCAGTAGGCATGGTCAAGGGCGGATGGAGTGAGCATAGAAACGGAATTTCTCCACACAAACTTCTTTATTTTGACTGTCAATTGTTGGACCACATAAATGTATTCAAACCTATATTATTAAAATAAAAATGAAATAAAATAGAGGGAGCCATGCTTGCCTCACTGGACTGTCTTGAGGATTCTATTCCAAAGGGCCATGAAGACCTGCTCTCAGGACCTGCTTCCTGGTTGACCTTGACAAATGGTTCTTTATATATATATATATATATATATATATAATATACACTTTATATATATACTTTTGTGTGTGTGTGTGTGTATATATATATATATATATATATATATATATATATGCAGGTTTATAGGGAAAGGGACAGAAGAATGAAGGGCACTTGTATAGACACAAGTGGGCAGGAAGAGCTGCCCCGAAAGGGACAGGTTTGCTGAGAGAAGCCTGTATGGTTGCAGGCCTGGAAGAGAGCTGCCTCCAATGAGGGAGGTCAATGAGGAGAAGTCCCAGCATGGTACAGGTCACGGGCAGTCAGAAAGCTGCTGCCCTGGGCCTCCCTGGTGGCTCAGGTGGTTGAGCGCAGCACTGTGGAGCTGTTGGCAGCCTCCACTGCGCGGGTTTGATCCTGGCTGCCTGGGGAGCTACCCACATGGCAAAGCAGACCTCTCCTGTCTCACCCGCTGCTCCCCTCAGCAGTGTATTTCAGTAGACCCACCTCTTCTGCTCCCCACTCTGTCTCTGGTGAATCCTCTCACCCCCTGAACCTCTGGCCTGTGCCCCAGTTCTTGTGTGCATGAATAAATAAATCTTAAAAAAAAAAAAAAAAAGAAAGCTGCTGCCCTGTGGAGGGAGAGAGTTGATGAAAAGAGGCCCCTGTGTAGGCACAGGTGGGCAGAGGGAGTGCTGCTGACAAATGGTTCTTTTTGTGCTTTATGGTGGAGGCAGCGATGTGCAGACACTCTGGCCCTCTTTGGCCCTGGAAAGATTCTGTGATCACAGGACCTGGGACTGGGTACTAGGGATGGGTTAGCCTGGGGCACGCTAGGGGGGAGGGAGTATCAGAGGGAGTATCAGAGTATCAGAGCCATGCTAATGTAGGGAGGGAGTATCAGAGGGAGCGACATCAGGGAAGGAGAGAGGTGGGGCAAGGGCCTCCAGCTGCTACATCATCTAGTATCCCCACAAAAACCCCCAGCATCCCTGACCCCAAGAATGGTGGGAGTTTGGGATCTTAGATAGATCAGACTTTGGGACATCCTGCTGTCTCCCAAGGTGGGACTGCTGGGGCCAGGTGTTTGCACTTCACACCCTATGCATGGCAGGCTTAGCAGATGGATGTTTGCTGACTGGAGTTCAAGCACAGTTGGCAGTGCCTAGGATGCCCTTGTCCATGACTGCCCTTTGAGCATGTGTACAGGTATTCCAAGGAAACAGACACTTGCTGAGGTGGCACACACCTCTGCCTCTGATGGTCCTTGGCTCTCTGCTTGGCAAGGCCAGAGCTGTTCTGGAGAAAATTTCAATAGGACCAAGAGCCTCCCTGGGATGTCCAGCCTGAATCCCTGTAGGCAAAGGCTAAAGCAGGTTGGGATTGAGGGGTGACTGAGTGGGAAACCTCTGCCTGTTGGTCCTTGCTGAGTTTAGGGTGAAGGAGATAGTAGATTTGGCTTGGGGAGGAGCCAGTCTTGAAGCCACTAACTAGCAGAAGGGGAAAACATTCTCTTGGCCTTTCAAATCAGAGAGGGGAAAACAGAGGGCCCTGGAAGGGAAGAAGCAGAACTTGGCTTCCAGTGGCTCTCTGTCATTGGCCAACTATGTGACCTTGGGTCCGACTGCATCCCTAAATGGGAATAGAATTGACTTGAAAATCAAATGGAGGAAAGCTGTTCATAAAATGAAAAGGGTTCTCTCTCATATGAGAACACTGACATCATTATAAAGATGATGTATCTATTTGTTATTAAGTTATTTGTTATATAAGTTATGTATCTATTTGTTATTAAGCCATAAAGTCGAAATCCATTCACAATTTGAGAACAGTTCCACCAAGATCCCTAAAGAAAAGACCTTTCTCACCCCCAC